GCATGCATCCGGACACAAGCATGCGTCCGGACACAAGCATGCGTCCGGACACAAGCATGCGTCCGGACACAAGCATGCGTCTGGACACAAGCATGCGTCCGGACACAAGCATGCGTCCGGACCCAAGCATGCGTCCGGACACAAGCATGCATCCGGACACAAGCATGCGTCCGGACACAAGCATGCGTCCGGACACAAGCATGCGTCAGGACACAAGCATGCGTCCGGACACAAGCATGCGTCCGGACACAAGCATGCGTCCGGACCCAAGCATGCGTCCAAACACAAGCATGCGTCCGAACACAAGCATGCGTCCGGACACAAGCATGCGACCGGACACAAGCATGCGTCCGGACACAAGCATGCGACCAGGCACAAGCATGCGTCCAAACACAAGTATGCGTCCGGACACAAGCATGCGTCTGGACACAAGCATGCGACCGGACTCAAGCATGCGTCCGGACACAAGCATGCGTCCGGACTCAAGCATGCATCCGGACACAAGCATGCGACCGGACACAAGAATGCGTCCGGACACAAGCATGCGTCTGGACACAAGCATGCGTCCGGACACAAGCATGCGTCCGGACACAAGCATGCGTCCGGACACAAGCATGCGTCCGGACACAAGCATGCGTCCGGACACAAGCATGCGACCGGACTCAAGCATGCGGTCGGACACAAGCATGCGACCGGACACAAGCATGCGTTCGGACACAAGCATGCGTCTGGACACAAGCATGCGTCCGGACTCAAGCATGCGTCCGGACACAAGCATGCGACCGGACACAAGAATGCGTCCGGACACAAGCATGCGTCTGGACACAAGCATGCGTCCGGACACAAGCATGCGTCCGGACACAAGCATGCGACCGGACTCAAGCATGCGGTCGGACACAAGCATGCGACCAGACACAAGCATGCGTTCGGACACAAGCATGCGTCCGGACACAAGGATGCGTCCGGACACAAGCATGCGTCCGGACACAAGCATGCGTCCGGACACAAGCATGCGTCCGGACACAAGCATACGTCCGGACACGAGCATGCGACCGTACTCAAGCATGCGTCCGGACACAAGCATGCGTCCGGACACAAGCATGCGTCCGGACACAAGCATGCGACCGGACACAAGCATGCTTCCAGACACAAGCATGCGTCCGGACTCAAGCATGCGTCCGGACACAAGCATGCGACCGGACTCAAGCATGCGTCCTGACACAAGCATGCGTCCGGACACAAGCATGCGTCCGGACACAAGCATGCGTCCGGACACAAGCATGCGACCGGACTCAAGCATGCGTCCGGACTCAAGCATGCGTCCGGACACAAGCATGCGTCCGGACACAAGCATGCGTCCGGACACAAGCATGCGTCCGTACACAAGCATGCGTCCGGACACAAGCATGCGACCGGGCACAAGCATGCGTCCGGACACAAGCATGCGTCCGGACACAAGCATGCGTCCGGACACAAGCATGCGACCGGACTCAAGCATGCGTCCGGACACAAGCATGCGTCCGGACACAAGCATGCGTCCGGACACAAGCATGCGACCGGGCACAAGCATGCGTCCGGACACAAGCATGCGTTCGGACACAAGCATGCGTCCGGACACAAGCATGCGTCCGGTCCCAAGCATGCGTCCGGACCCAAGCATGCGTCCGGACACAAGCATGCGTCCGGACACAAGCATGCGTTCGGACACAAGCATGCGTCCGGACACAAGCATGCGTCCGGACCCAAGCATGCGTCTGGACACAAGCATGCGTCCGGACACAAGCATGCGTCCGGACACAAGCATGCGTCCGGACACAAGCATGCGTCCGGACACAAGCATGCGTCCGGACACAAGCATGCGACCGGACTCAAGCATGCGTCCGGACACAAGCATGCGTCCGGACACAAGCATGCGTCCGGACACAAGCATGCGTCCGGACACAAGCATGCGACCGGACTCAAGCATGCGTCCAGACACAAGCATGCGTCCGGACACAAGCATGCGTCCGGACACAAGCATGCGTCCGGACACAAGCATGCGTCCGTACACAAGCATGCGTCCGGACACAAGCATGCGACCGGGCACAAGCATGCGTCCGGACACAAGCATGCGTCCGGACACAAGCATGGGTCCGGACACAAGCATGCGACTGGACTCAAGCATGCGTCCGGACACAAGCATGCGTCCGGACACAAGCATGCGTCCGGACACAAGCATGCGTCCGGACACAAGCATGCGACCGGACACAAGCATGCGTCCGGACTCAAGCATGGGATCGGACTCAAGCATGCGTACGGACACAAGCATGCGTCTGGACACAAGCATGCGTCCGGACACAAGCATGCCTCCGGACACAAGCATGCGTCCGGACACAAGCATGCGTCCGGACACAAGCATGCGTCCGGACACAAGCATGCGACCGGGCACAAGCATGCGTCCGGACACAAGCATGCGTCCGGACACAAGCATGCGTCCGGACACAAGCATGCGTCTGGACACAAGCATGCGTCCGGACACAAGCATACGTCCGGACACGAGCATGCGACCGTACTCAAGCATGCGTCCGGATACAAGCATGCGTCCAGACACAAGCATGCGTCCGGACACAAGCATGCGACCGGACACAAGCATGCTTCCAGACACAAGCATGCGTCCGGACTCAAGCATGCGTCCGGACACAAGCATGCGACCGGACTCAAGCATGCGTCCTGACACAAGCATGCGTCCGGACACAAGCATGCGTCCGGACACAAGCATGCGTCCGGACACAAGCATGCGACCGGACTCAAGCATGCGTCCGGACTCAAGCATGCGTCCGGACACAAGCATGCGTCCGGACACAAGCATGCGTCCGGACACAAGCATGCGTCCGTACACAAGCATGCGTCCGGACACAAGCATGCGACCGGGCACAAGCATGCGTCCGGACACAAGCATGCGTCCGGACACAAGCATGCGACCGGACTCAAGCATGCGTCCGGACACAAGCATGCGTCCGGACACAAGCATGCGTCCGGACACAAGCATGCGACCTGGCACAAGCATGCGTCCGGACACAAGCATGCGTTCGGACACAAGCATGCGTCCGGACACAAGCATGCGTCCGGTCCCAAGCATGCGTCCGGACCCAAGCATGCGTCCGGACACAAGCATGCGTCCGGACACAAGCATGCGTTCGGACACAAGCATGCGTCCGGACACAAGCATGCGTCCGGACCCAAGCATGCGTCCGGACACAAGCATGCGTCCGGACACAAGCATGCGTCCGGACACAAGCATGCGTCCGGACACAAGCATGCGTCCGGACACAAGCATGCGTCCGGACACAAGCATGCGACCGGACTCAAGCATGCGTCCGGACACAAGCATGCGTCCGGACACAAGCATGCGTCCGGACACAAGCATGCGTCCGGACACAAGCATGCGACCGGACTCAAGCATGCGTCCAGACACAAGCATGCGTCCGGACACAAGCATGCGTCCGGACACAAGCATGCGTCCGGACACAAGCATGCGTCCGTACACAAGCATGCGTCCGGACACAAGCATGCGACCGGGCACAAGCATGCGTCCGGACACAAGCATGCGTCCGGACACAAGCATGCGTCCGGACACAAGCATGCGACCGGACTCAAGCATGCGTCCGGACACAAGCATGCGTCCGGACACAAGCATGCGTCCGGACACAAGCATGCGTCCGGACACAAGCATGCGACCGGACACAAGCATGCGTCCGGACTCAAGCATGTGATCGGACTCAAGCATGCGTACGGACACAAGCATGCGTCTGGACACAAGCATGCGTCCGGACACAAGCATGCGTCCAGACACAAGCATGCGTCCCGACACAAGCATGCGTCCGGACACAAGCATGCGTCCGGACACAAGCATGCGACCGGGCACAAGCATGCGTCCGGACACAAGCATGCGTCCGGACACAAGCATGCGACCGGACTCAAGCATGCGTCCGGACACAAGCATGCGTCCGGACACAAGCATGCGTCCGGACACAAGCATGCGTCCGGACACAAGCATGCGTCCGGACACAAGCATGCGTCCGGACACAAGCATGCGTCCGGACAAAAGCATGCGTCCGGACACAAGCATGCGTCCGGACACGAGCATGCGACCGTACTCAAGCATGCGTCCGGACACAAGCATGCGTCCGGACACAAGCATGCGACCGGACTCAAGCATGCTTCCGGACACAAGCATGCGTCCGTACTCAAGCATGCGTCCGGACAAAAGCATGCGACCGGACTCAAGCATGCGTCCGGACACAAGCATGCGTCCGGACACAAGCATGCGTCCGTACACAAGCATGCGTCCGGACACAAGCATGCGTCCGGACACAAGCATGCGACCGGACTCAAGCATGCGTCCTGACACAAGCATGCGTTCGGACACAAGCATGCGTTCGGAAACAAGCATGCGTCCGGACACAAGCATGCGTCCGGACCCAAGCATGCGTCCGGACCCAAGCATGCGTCCGGACACAAGCATGCGTCCGGACACAAGCATGCGTCCGGACCCAAGCATGCGTCCGGACACAAGCTTGCGTCCGGACACAAGCATGCGTCCGGACACAAGCATGCGTACGGACAAAAGCATGCGTCCGGACACAAGCATGCATCCGGACACAAGCATGCGTCCGAACACAAGCATGCGTCCGGACACAAGCATGCGTCCGGACACAAGCATGCGTCTGGACACAAGCATGCGTCCGGACACAAGCATGCGTCCGGACCCAAGCATGCGTCTGGACACAAGCATGCGTCCGGACACAAGCATGCGTCCGGACACAAGCATGCGTCCGGACACAAGCATGCGTCAGGACACAAGCATGCGTCCGGACACAAGCATGCGTCCGGACACAAGCATGCGACCGGACACAAGCATGCGTCCGGACACAAGCATGCGACCGGGCACAAGCATGCGTCCAAACACAAACATGCGTCCGGACACAAGCATGCGTCTGGACACAAGCATGCGACCGGACTCAAGCATGCGTCTGGACACAGGCATGCGTCCGGACTCAAGCATGCATCCGGACACAAGCATGCGACCGGACACAAGAATGCGTCCGGACACAAGCATGCGTCTGGACACAAGCATGCGTCCGGACGCAAGCATGCGTCCGGACACAAGCATGCGACCGGACTCAAGCATGCGGTCGGACACAAGCATGCGACCGGACACAAGCATGCGTTCGGACACAAGCATGCGTCCGGACACAAGCATGCGTCCGGACTCAAGCATGCGTCCGGACACAAGCATGCGACCGGACACAAGAATGCGTCCCGACACAAGCATGCGTCTGGACACAAGCATGCGTCCGGACACAAGCATGCGTTCGGACACAAGCATGCGACCGGACTCAAGCATGCGGTCGGACACAAGCATGCGACCAGACACAAGCATGCGTTCGGACAGAAGCATGCGTCCGGACACAAGCATGCGTCCGGACACAAGCATGCGTCCGAACACAAGCATGCGTCCGGACACAAGCATGCGTCCGGACACAAGCATGCGTCCGGACACGAGCATGCGACCGTACTCAAGCATGCGTCCGGACACAAGCATGCGTCCAGACACAAGCATGCGTCCGGACACAAGCATGCGTCCGGACACAAGCATGCGACCGGACACAAGCATGCTTCCAGACACAAGCATGCGTCCGGACTCAAGCATGCGTCCGGACACAAGCATGCGACCGGACTCAAGCATGCGTCCTGACACAAGCATGCGTCCGGACACAAGCATGCGTCGGTACACAAGCATGCGTCCGGACACAAGCATGCGTCCGGACACAAGCATGCGACCGGACTCAAGCATGCGTCCGGACACAAGCATGCGTCCGGACACAAGCATGCGTTCGGACACAAGCATGCGTCCGGACACAAGCATGCGTCCGGACCCAAGCATGCGTTCGGACCCAAGCATGCGTCCGGACACAAGCATGCGTCCGGACACAAGCATGCGTCCGGACCCAAGCATGCGTCCGGACACAAGCATGCGTCCGGACACAAGCATGCGTCCGGACACAAGCATGCGTCTGGTCACAAGCATGCGTCCGGACACAAGCATGCATCCGGACACAAGCATGCGTCCGGACACAAGCATGCGTCCGGACACAAGCATGCGACCGGACACAAGCATGCGTCCGGACACAAGCATGCGTCCGGACACAAGCATGCGTCCGGACCCAAGCATGCGTCCGGACACAAGCATGCGTCCGACACAAGCATGCGTCCGGACACAAGCATGCGTCCGGACACAAGCATGCGTCCGGACACAAGCATGCGACCGGACACAAGCATGCGTCCGGACACAAGGATGCGTCCGGAAAGAAGCATGCGTCCGGACACAAGCATGCGCACGGACACAAGCATGCGTCCGGACAAAAGCATGCGACCGGACACAAGCATGCGACCGGACTCAAGCATGCGACCATGTCCACGTCCATGTCCACGTCCAAGTCCACGTCCATGTCCACGTCCATGTCCACGTCCACGTCCATGTCCATGTCCACGTCCACGTCCATGTCCACATCCACGTCCACGACCACGTCCACGTCCACGTCCACGTCCACGCCCACGTCCACGTCCACGTCCACGTCCACGTCCACGTCCACGTCCACGACCACGTCCACGTCCACGTCCACGTCCACGTCCACGCCGATGTCCACGTCCACGTCCACGTCCACGTCCACGTCCACGTCCACGTCCATGTTCACGTCCACGTCCACGTCCACGTCCATGTCCACGTCCACGTCCACGTCCACGTCCACGTCCACGTCCACGTCCACGTCCATGTCCACGTCCACGTCCACGTCCATGTCCACGTCGACGTCCACGTCCACGTCCAAGTCCACGTCCACGTCCACGTCCACGTCCATGTCCACGTCAGTCCACGTCCACGTCCATGTCCACGTCGTCCACGTCCACGTCCACGTCCACGTCCACGTCCACCTCTACGTCCACGTCCACGTCCATGTCCACGTCCATGTCCACGTCAGTCCACGTCCACGTCCACGTCCACGTCCACTTCCACGTCCATGTCCACGTCCACGTCTACGTCCATGTCCACGTCCACGTCCACGTCCACGTCCACGTCCACGTCCATGTCCACGTCAGTCCACGTCCACGTCCATGTCTACGTCGTCCACGTCCACGTCCACGTCCACGTCCACGTCCATGTCCACGTCCATGTTCACGTACATGTCCACGTCCACGTCCATGTCCACGTCCACGTCCACGTCCATGTCCACGTCCACGTCCACGTCCATGTCCACGTCCACGTCCATGTCCACGTCCATGTCCACGTCCACGTCCACGTCCACGTCCACGTCCATGTCCACGTCCACGTCCACGTCCACGTCCACGTCCAAGTCCACGTCCACGTCCTCGTCCACGTCCATGTCCACGTCCATGGCCACGTCGAAGTCCACGTCCACGTCCACGTCCACGTCCACCTCCACGTCCACCTCCACGTCCACCTCCACACCTAGCGAATCGGGAGACGAAATCGAAGCGATGGATACCTCGAGCTCGCCGCCATGGCGGCTTTCCGTTTGCCTGGAACTCACATTGCGTGAAGCTCTCACATCAGCTGGCTTTAATTTTTCCAGCACTGACATCGCTGCACCTTTACGAAGAAGTCTACACCCTTTTTGTGTTCATCAAACGAACATTGTGTGGACTTCTCAAGGGTGTCCTACGCTGGATCATGAATCAAAGCTTAAGGCTATTGCGCGGTTCTCAAGGCTGAGCCAACACAGGAGGAAATTACCTAAGCTAACATTCATTGGCTATGCAGATGTTGTTCATCGGGATGATCCCGAAGTTTTATCTTCAGCGTTACAACACTTTTGTCAGGAGGAATGGTCTTCCAATGACCACTCATTACTACTTAACTCTGTTGTGCTCAGAGTACTGGCTCATAGTTTCCTTCAACTCTTTCATTCAGAGTCTCTACCAGCTTATCCTCATCATCGCACGATGCCTCCGAAATCCTCTCGTGCTAAAGCGGTCAACGCTCCTGCTGGTGATAGTGATTCTGCAAGCAAGTCGACACCAAGCAAGGGGAAGGAAGTCAATGACAACCTGCCGTCAGAAACAGAAGTGACGGCAGGAAGCTCTGGTCTCACCATTGAGGAAAAACTGCAAGTGCTGGCATCGGTTGCTTCGGATGACACATTCATTGAAGATGACTCGGACGAAGAGCTTGACATTGACACGACCAATAATGCACACCCGCATTTGCGCTTCACGACTATACTGCTCTTCCGGGTTATCCCCTCTCGCGAGGTTGCCTCGGTGATTCTGGCCGTGAGGATGCTGATGAAGCGTGTCTGGACTAACCTGCTCACCGTTGATGTCCTCGCCTCGGTGAAGTTCCAGGAACTGCCCCCCGCGTGGATCGCGAAGTCCCGCTACAGCCGGCTTCAGGTCTCCTTCCTGCACGAATCTGACGCGGTGAAAATCAAGCAAACGGACGGTGGAATACAAGCGTCAGAACGGATCGACTCTTCACTGCTTCTGGCTGCACCAGGAGGATGCTGCTTACCTTCGCAAGAAGGCTTCGGGACCGCAGCTGCTGGAGGTTTATTTCAAGGATGTTCCAGCGGATATTCCGCCGGAGTTGGTCAAGGAGGTCATGGTGGATCACCCGCTCAGGATGAGGAAGCAGTCTGCGTTTGCTGAAGGTCACTGCTTCCACCGAGTCCTTCACCCTGTCACCGGCGCTGACACTGATCGGATCAAGGGGCTGGTGATTCAGCATGCTGGCGACAAGCATCGCTGGCGTCACGAGTTTCGTCATCAGCTGCTGGGTGGGACGACACTGTTGGCCCACTACCCGTTGCTATCCTGTCCGCTCTGTGGTGGTCATCATTATGACAAGTTTCATAATGTTTTTATCACGGAGCGTCAGAATAACATAGGGAAGTGGAGTTTAACTGTGGGTCGGGTCCATGGGATCAATGGTAACCGCAGCTTACGATTGTTGGGTTGTCTTTTTAGCTTACCTACCTTGTCGGTCACTGATGCATCGCTTCCCCTTTGCAGCTGCCTCTCTCCGCACGTCTCCGCTGATTACACCGTTACTGCTGGATGCGGCTTTCGTCCTGATCTCAACTGGGAGCAACCGGGAAGAATGGCTGTGCACACTCGAGAGCTGCGGAAAGACTCATGGCAAGTCCTTCATGGCTGCTGCGGATCACATCACGTCGGTAGGCCATCTGCTGGGTCTGGAGAAGTTGGGCGCAGCCACTCGCAGCTCCCTGGAGAAGCTCGGTCTGCACGTCATCCGGAAAGAGTACCAGATCTGAGACGCTTACCTGCATGTCGGAGACAGAGGGTTGTAACATTGGCGATTTCTCACGGTTGTGTTGTTGCTCCTGATTGTACCTGCCCGTGGATGCGAAGGGGCCTTACAGTAGTGGTCAAATGAATACAAAAAGTCTTTTTTCGTTTGCGGGCCTGAATGTCAACGGCCTGGGAGATGGGAACAAGCAACAGCGAACAAGGAACTGGTTGAAGCAAGCAGCAGATGTCGTTATACTGTCCGACTCTAGGCTCTCTGGTGATCACCCTTACTGGACCTCACTCCGGCAACCGCAAATCCTGGTCGCCTCTCCCACAGCCAAGGCTGGTGGGGTTGCTTTGATTTGTCGGAGGCATGGAATGTCATTACACAACACCCTCATTCATCCGTCCGGCCGGCTGGTTGCGGCGGAACTTCATCTTGACTCTTTCATCATTACCTTGGTTGCGGTCTATTTCCCGGCCGACGCGGCTGAGCGCAAGGTGTTCATCCGCAGAGTGCTTGGCCCGGTGGTTGACGCAGTGCAGCCAGTTTCTCACCTGCTCATCATGGGGGATTTCAACTTGGTAGAGGATCCGTTGTTGGATCGGACATCGAGGAAAGGAACCACGAAGGAAAATGAGGAGTTGTACCGTCGCTGCGCCGTATTTCGTCTCTCGGACGCCTTTCGTGTACTGCATCCGTACAAGAGGGAATTTACCTTCTACTCCTGCGCAAACCAATCCAGCTCGCGTATAGACAGGGCACTTATCTCACATTCGCTGCTGGCGCATGTGGAGTTCGTCTCGCATATCATGCCGGCTGACCTCATCTCTGACCACAGTTTTGCAGTGAAGGCGGTTTTCCGGATGAACACGCGGGTGCAGTTGGGCCCAGGGCTCTGGAGACTACCTGCATACATGCTAGACAGACCGGGGGTCAGAAAGGTGATTGAGGCTGTGGTGCGGCAGGCAGAGTCAAGCGGGGAGGGCTTTGAGCTTCTAATCTCTCGCCTTAACACCGCTTTGCGTGCGTACGCGAACGAGGAGCGGAAGAGGGTCAGAGCCACGATGGCCCATCTTCACCGGTCAGTTGCGGAGTTGAAGCAGGCCTGGATGGGTGACCCGGGGTGCGCTCGGCTCAAAAGCTTGCTGGTTGAAAAGGAGGGACAGCTGAAGGGGTACCAGCTGGCTTGGCAAGAGAGGCTGCATGTAATGGCCGGGATGAAGGAAGAAGTCATGGGTGAAGTGGCTTCAACGCACCTGTCAGCAAAAATCAAGGCCAGGAAGGGACGGACGCAGATCACGGAGTTAAATGCAGGCGGGAGACTGCTGAATGACAAGAGCGCTATTCTGGGGGCTGCGTCACAATACTATAAGGAGCTCTTCGGCCGCGACAGGAAGCATGCTGAGTCAGCCTGGTCGCCTGCCCCTGGGAGGTCCTTGTCGCAGAGGTCGGCGGAAGCGGTGTGCATGGCCTGGTCGGAGGAGGAAGTGGAAAATGCCTTCCGCTCGATGGCGAAAGACAAGGCTCCTGGGAAGGACGGGCTGCCGAAGGAGCTGTTCGAGGTTCACTGTGACATCATGGGCAAGCACTTCATGCAACTCGTGCAGAATTTTGCGGCTACGGCGACGCTGCAGACGAGCACGAAAGAGGCGGTCACCATCCTGCTGCACAAGAAAGGAGGGAGAGATCAGCTTGAGAACTACAGGCCGATTACGCTTCTGAGTTTCACCTACAAAGTGATTGCGAGAGTGGTAGCGGACAGGATGAAAAAGGTGATGCACGAGGTCATCTCCCCGGAACAGTTTGGCTTCTTACCTGGCAGGAAACTGTTGGATGCAGTGGGCCTGGTCGCGGATGTCATCGAAGCCGCGAGAAACAAGGACCACGACTGGTATCTTCTGCTGGTCGATTTCAGGAAAGCCTTCGACTCAGTATCAAGGGACTTCCTGTTCACGGTGCTTGAGCGGATGGGTTTTCCGAGCCTCTTCGTGGACTGGGTTCGGGGTCTGCACAAAGACACACGAACCAGCTTGTTAATCAACGGCTGGTTGGGGGATGCGGTTAATGTGGTGTCCGGAGTGCGCCAGGGGTGCCCGCTCGCGCCATACCTCTTTCTGTGCGCGGTGGAACCACTGGCTCAACAGGCGGCAGCCAGGAAGCTCGGCCTTGAAGGAGGAAGTCGGCGGCTGGCGTATCTAGGTTATGCTGACGACACGACCCTGATCTTGCAAGGAGAGGAACAGATCACGGAAGCAGAAAGGTTGTTAGCAGATTTTGAGGCGGAATCGGGTCTGGCAACGAATAAGGAGAAGTCGTCTATTTTACCGTTGGGACGAAACCTGAACAAGCAGGCCTCTATGACGGATGGCTTCAAATGGGTGAAGGCTGACGAAGCGGAGCGGCTCCTGGGCGTGTGGGTGACACCGGCTGGCAGCTGCGCCCCCACCTGGGAGAAAGCTTTCGCTCGGATCAAGGAGAAACTGCGGCAATGGGAGACGCAGCATCTCACGACGGGTGCCAGAGTAGCAGTAATTAACTGCTACGTCTCACCGATAATCTTTTTCCAGGCACAAGTGTATCCGCCGCCGGTGAACATCTGGGGGAGAATTTTAACGCTGGCGCACAACTTCGTATCAGGAAATCATGCGGTCACTGACAAAAAATTCATTCTGTGGAGTCGGGAGCTGCTGTACATGGCGAGAGGAGACGGTGGTGTGGGAGTGCGCGACCCTGAAATAGAACTCACCTGTCTAGCGGCGAGGCGCATCGGGCTGCTGTTAACGGAGACGTGCGAGCTGAAGCGGGACATCATGCTGGAAGCGGCTGACCTGCCGCTGGGGACAGATACCTTTGCTGCTAATGCGAAGCTCCTGAAGAGTTGGCGGGGTAAGAGCGAGAGATGGAAGCTGGCCTGCGGGAGTTTTATGCAGTCGCTGCTGGCAGAGTCGCTGCCGGTCCTGACGAGGGAGGAAATGGTCACGGAGCGGATCGTTTTTAATCGCAATATTTTGCTCAACCGCAGGACTCCGGTTGGGGGCCAGAAGGCTGCGGTGAAGCTATGGGAGCTTCGGCTGGGTGACCTACTGCTACCGAATGGCGCGGGGGGCTGTAAATTCAAAGACGGGAAAACCTTAACACATGAGTTGGGGGGTTCAAAACAAGCGAAGCTAGCCTTACGGGCCTGGGAAGCTGTGCCGCAGACCTGGAAAGAGAGTCTTCTGTCTGCCGAGCTTCCGCAGCTGCCATCCCCGCCTGCAGCTCCTCGTCTGCGGAAAGCGGCACTGTTCAAAGATGGGCAGGTGGTGTCGTTGAAGGAGTTGAAGGGCTGTTTGACAAAGCAGGGGCATCAGTCCGCCAAGAGGGAACTTTGGGCGGGCAGATGGGCTGGTGACATTGACTGGAAAAAGGTGATTAAGATTCGGGACTCTTTGGTGACGCCGAACAGGCCGCGGGATGTGCTGCTTAGGATTCATAGCCTTAACCTGCAGGTGGGGGAGAGGCTCTCTTTTCTAAGCGGCAAGCCAGTGTGCCCGCACTGTGGGGAATTCGAAACTGTGGAACACTGCCTTTTCAGCTGCCCGCGCATCCAACGAGTGGTGGGGGCTGTCAGACGGGCTCTACGTGTCCTGAACCCAGCGAGGCATGTGTCGGATCTGGGGGACCTGTTGTTTGGGAAAGCGGTGTCTGCCTCGGCTTTTCCGGAAGCTTCTCTTTCCGCCATCGCTATTCATCAGATTTGGGCGGAGCAGTGTGACTGTGTGTTTCGGGGGAAGAGATTTCGGACTCGGCGGGTCCTCAGGCGCATCGAAGCAGCTTTTCGGCTGCATGTGATGGTGTACACGCGTGCCATGGGGAAGAGGCTCCGGAAAAGCGGTGGCGGCAAAAAACAAGCCAGCTCGCATGTGCTCGCTGGCCAGGAGGACATTTTGCTCATGCGCATCCGCTGTCCAACGGCAAAAGGCTGGAAGTGGACGCACAGATTTGGCGCGCTATGGAGTCTTGCAAGGGGATCTCTGCATCCGCCTTAGAAGCCTCGCTTGGGGCCACCACTGAGGGTTTGGCCTCTCACGCTCAGTTACGACTGTCATATATCTCTTATACGCTTGCTTCATCGGTGTATTCTGATATATACATAATGAAAAAAAAAAAAAAAAAAAAAAAAACGTCCACCTCCACGTCCACCTCCACGTCCACCTCCACGTCCACCTCCACGTCCACGTCCACGTCCACGTCCACGTCCACGTCCACGTCCACGTCCACGTCCACGTCCATGTCCACCTCCACGTCCACCTCCACGTCCACCTCCACGTCCACCTCCACGTCCACCTCCACGTCCACCTCCACCTCCACGTCCACCTCCACGTCCTCGTCCACGTCCACGTCCACGTCCACGTCCACGTCCACGTCCACCTCCACGTCCACGTCCACGTCTACGTCCATGTCCACGTCCACGTCCATGTCCACGTCCACGTCTACGTCCACGTCCATGTCCACGTCCACGTCTACGTCCACGTCCATGTCCACGTCCACGTCCAGGTCCACGTCCACGTCCACGTCAACATCCACGTCCACGTCCATGTCCACGTCCACGTCCATGTCCACGTCCATGTCCACGTCCACGTCCAGGTCTACGTCCATGTCCACGTCCACGTCCAAGTCCACGTCCACGTCCACGTCCAACACGTCCACGTCCACGTCCACGTCCACGTCCACCTCCACGTCCACCTCCACCCCCACGTCCACGTCCACGTCCACCTCCACGTCCACGTCCACGTCCACGTCCACGTCCACGTCCATGTCGACGTCCATGTCGACGTCCACCTCCACGTCCACCTCCACGTCCACCTCCACGTCCACCTCCACGTCCACGTCCACGTCCACCTCCACGTCCACCTCCACGTCCACCTCCACGTCCACGTCCATGTCCACGTCCACGTCCACGTCCACGTCCACGTCCACGTCCATGTCGACGTCCATGTCCACGTCCATGTCCACCTCCACCTCCACGTCCACCTCCACGTCCACGTCCACGTCCATGTCCACGTCCACGTCCATGTCCACGTCCACGTCCCTGTCCACGTCCACGTCCATGTCCACGTCCACGTCGACGTCCACGTCCACGTCCATGTCTACGTCCATGTCTACGTCCACGTCCACGTCCACGTCCACGTCCAAGTCCACGTCCACGTCCACGTCCACGTCCACGTCCACCTCCACGTCCACCTCCACGTCCACGTCCACGTCCATGTCCCTGTCCACGTCCACGTCCATGTCCACGTCCACGTCCTCCACGTCCGTGTCCACGTCCACGTCCACGTCCACGTCCACGTCCACGTCCATGTCCACGTCCACGTCCACGTGGTCCACGTCCACCTACATGTCCACGTGCACGTCCATGTCCACGTCCATGTCCACGTCCACGCCATGTCCACGTCCACGTCCCTTCCACGTCCATGTCCACGTCCATGTCCACGTCCACGTCCATGTCCACGTCCATGTCCATGTCCACGTCCACGTCCATGTCGACGTCCATGTCGACGTCCATGTCCACGTCCACCTCCACGTCCACATCCACGTCCACCTCCACGTCCACGTCCACGTCCATTTCTACGTCCACGTCCACGTCCACGTCCACGTCCATGTCCACGTCCATGTCCACGTCCACGTCCACGTCCACGTCCATGTCGACGTCCACGTCCACGTCCACGTCCATGTCCACCTCCACGTCCACCTCCACGTCCACGTCCACGTCCACGTCCACGTCCATGTCCACGTCCACGTCCACGTCCACGTCCACGTCCACGTCCACGTCCACGTCCAAGTCCACGTCCACGTCCACGTCCATGTCCACGTCCACGTCCATGTCCACGTCCACGTCCATGTCCACGTCCATGTCCACGTCCACGTCCACGTCCATGTCCACGTGCACGTCCATGTCCACGTCCATGTCCACGTCCACGTCCACGTCCACGTCCATGTCCACGTCGACGTCCATGTCCACGTCGACGTCCATGTCCACGTCCATGTCCACGTCCACCTCCACGTCCACCTCCACGTCCACGTCCACGTCCATGTCCACGTCCACGTCCACGTCCCTGTCCATGTCCACGTCCATGACCACGTCCACGTCCTCCACGTCCATGTCCACGTCCACGTCCACGTCCACGTCCACGTCCACGTGGTCCACGTCCATGTCCATGTCCTCCTCCATGTCCACGTCCACGTCCATGTCCACGTCCAAGTCCACGTCCACGTCCATGTCCATGTCCACGTCCATGTCCATGGACGTGGACTTGGATGTGGACGTGGACATGGACGTGGACTTGGACGTGGACGTGGACGTGGACATGGACGTGGACGTGGACGTGGACATGGACGTGGACATAGACGTGGACGTGGACATGGACGTGGACGTGGACGTGGACATGGACGTGGACGTGGACGTGGACATGGACGTGGACCTAGACGTGGACGTGGACATGGACGTGGACATGGACGTGGACGTGGACGTGGACATGGACGTGGACGTGGACGTGGACGTGGACGTGGACGTGGACCTAAACGTGGACGTGGACATGGACGTGGACGTAGACGTGGACGTGGACATAGACGTGGACGTAGACGTGGACGTGCACATGGACGTGGACGTGGACGTGGACATGGACGTGGACGTAGACGTGGACGTGGAGGTGGACGTGGACATGGACGTGGACGTGGACGTGGACGTGGACGTGGACATGGACGTGGACATGGACGTGGACCTGGACGTGGACGTGGACATGGACGTGGACGTGGATGTTGACGTGGACGTGGACGTGGACCTGGACGTGGACGTGGACATGGACGTGGACGTAGACGTGGACGTGGACATGGACGTGGACGTAGACGTGGACGTGGACATGGACGTGGACGTGGACATGGACGTAGACGTGGACGTGGACGTGGAGGTGGACGTGGACATGGACGTGGACGTGGACGTGGACGTGGACGTGGATGTGGACGTGGACATGGACGTGGACATGGACGTGGACTTGGACGTGGACGTGGACATGGACGTGGACGTGGACATGGACGTAGACGTGGACGTGGACGTGGACATGGACGTGGACGTGGACGTGGACGTGGACATGGACGTGGACGTGGACATGGACGTGGACGTGGACATGGACATGGACGTGGACGTGGACATGGACGTAGAAATGGACGTGGACGTGGACGTGGACATGGACGTGCACGTGGACGTGGACGTGGGCGTGGACGTGGACGTGGACGTGGACGTGGACATGGACATGGAGGTGGACGTGGATGTGGACGTGGACGTGGACATGGACGTGGACGTGGACGTGGACGTAGAAATGGACGTGGACGTGGACGTGGACATGGACGTGGATGTGGACATGGACGTGGACGTCGAAATGGATGTGGACGTGGACGTGGACATGGACGTGGACGTAGACGTGGACGTGGACGTGGACGTGGACGTGGACGTGGACGTGGACATGGACGTGGACATGGACGTGGACGTGGACGTGGACGTAGAAATGGACGTGGACGTGGACGTGGACGTGGACATGGACGTGGACATGGACGTGGACGTGGACGTGGACGTAGAAATGGACGTGGACGTGGACGTGGACATGGACGTGGACGTTGACGTGGACGTGGACGTGGACGTAGAAATGGACGTGGACGTGGACGTGGACGTGGACATGGACATGGACGTGGACGTGGACGTGGACATGGACGTGGACCTGGACATGGAGGTGGACGTGGACGTGGACGAGTACATGGACGTGGACGTGGACGTGGACGTGGACGTAGACGTGAGCGTGGACATGGACGTGGACTTGGACGTGGACATGGACGTGGACTTGGACAGGGACATGGACGTGGACTTGGACGTGGACTTGGACGTGGACATGGACGTGGACTTGGACGTGGACGTAGACGTGGACGTGGACATGGACGTCGACGTGGACGTGGACGTGGACGTGGACATGGACGTGGACGTGGACGTGGACGTGGACATGGACGTGGACGTGGACGTGGACATGGACGTGGACATGGACGTGGACATGGACGTGGACATGGACATGAACGTGGACGTGGACATGGACGTGGACGTGGACGTGGACGTGGACGTGGACGTGGACATGGACGTGGACATGGACGTGGACTTGGACGTGGACGTGGACATGGACGTGGACGTGGACATGGACGTAGACGTGGACGTGGACGTGGACGTGGACATGGACGTGGACGTAGACGTGGACGTGGACGTGGACGTAGAAATGGACGTGGACGTGGACGTGGACGTGGACGTGGACGTGGACGTGGACCGTGGACGTGGACGTGGACGTGGACGTAGACGTGGACGTGGACGTGGACGTGGACATGGACGTGGACGTGGACGTGGACGTGGACCTGGACGTGGACGTGGACTAGGACGTGGACGTGGACGTGGACGTGGACGTGGACACGGACACGGACACGGACGTAGACATGGACGTGGACGTGGACGTGGACGTGGACCTGGACGTGGACGTGGACGTGGACGTGGACATGGACGTGGACGTGGACGGGGACGTAGACGTGGACGTGGACGTAGAAATGGACGTGGACGTGGACGTGGACATGGACGTGGACATGGACGTGGACGTGGACGTGGATGTAGAAATGGACGTGGACGTGGACGTGGACGTGGACGTAGACGTGGACGTGGACGTGGACGTAGAAATGGACGTGGACGTGGACGTGGACGTGGACGTGGACGTGGACGTGGACGTGGACATGGACGTGGACGTGGACGTGGACGTGGACGTGGACGTGGACCATGGACGTGGACGTGGACGTGGACGTGGACGTAGACGTGGACGTGGACGTGGACGTGGACGTGGACGTGGACATGGACGTGGACATGGACGTGGACGTGGACGTGGACATGGACGTGGACGTGGACCTGGACGTGGACGTGGACGAGGACGTGGACGTGGACGTGGACGTGGACGTGGACACGGACGTGGACGTGGACGTGGACGTGGACGTGGACCTGGACGTGGACGTGGACGTGGACGTGGACGTGGACATGGACGTGGACGTGGACGGGGACGTCGACGTGGACGTGGACGTGGACATGGACATGAGTGGACGTGGACGTGGACTTGGACGTGGACGTGGACGTGGACGTGGACATGGACGTGGACATGGACGTGGACGTGGACGTGGACGTGGACTTGGACGTGGACGTGGACGTAGAAATGGACGTGGACGTGGACGTGGACATGGACGTGGACATGGACGTGGACGTGGACGTGGATGTAGAAATGGACGTGGACGTGGACGTGGACATGGACGTGGACGTAGACGTGGACGTGGACGTGGACGTAGAAATGGACGTGGACGTGGACGTGGACGTGGACGTGGACGTGGACCTGGACGTGGACGTGGACGTGGACGTGGACGTGGACGTGGACGTGGACCGTGGACGTGGACGTGGACGTGGACGTGGACGTGGACATGGACGTGGACGTGGACCTGGACGTGGACGTGGACGAGGACGTGGACGTGGACGTGGACGTGGACGTGGATACGGACACGGACGTAGACATGGACGTGGACGTGGACGTGGACGTGGACGTGGACGTGGACGTGGACATGGACGTGGACGTGGACGGGGACGTAGACGTGGACGTGGACGTGGACGTGGACGTGGACGTGGACGTGGACATGGACTTGGACGTGGACGTGGACGTAGAAATGGACGTGGACGTGGACGTGGACGTGGACATGGACGTGGACATGGACGTGGACATGGACGTGGACGTGGACATGAACGTGGACGTGGACATGGACGTGGACGTGGACGTGGACGTGGACGTGGACGTGGACATGGACGTGGACATGGACGTGGACTTGGACGTGGACGTGGACATGGACGTGGACGTGGACATGGACGTAGACGTGGACGTGGACGTGGACATGGACGTGGACGTGGACGTGGACGTGGACATGGACATGGACGTGGACGTGGACATGGACGTGGACATGGACATGGACGTGGACGTGGACGTGGACGTGGACATGGACGTGGACGTGGACGTGGACGTGGACATGGACATGGACATGGACGTGGACGTGGACGTGGACATGGACGTGGACGTGGACGTGGACGTGGACATGGACGTGGACATGGACGTGGACGTGGACATGACGTGGACGTGGACGTGGACATGGACATGGACGTGGACATGGACATGGACGTGGACGTGGACATGGACATGGACGTGGACGTGGACATGGAACGTGGACGTGGACATGGACATGGACGTGGACGTGGACGTGGACATGGACGTGGACGTGGACGTGGACATGGACGTGGACATGGACGTGGACGTAGACATGGACGTGGACGTGGACGTGGACATGGACATGGACGTGGACATGGACATGGACGTGGACGTGGACATGGACGTGGACATGGACGTGGACTTGGACGTGGACGTGGACATGGACGTGGACGTGGACATGGACGTGGACGTGGACGTGGACGTGGACCGTGGACATGGACAAGGACGTGGACGTGGACGTGGACATGGACGTGGACGTGGACGTGGACATGGACGTGGACATGGACGTGGACATGGACAGTGGACGTGGACAGTGGACAGTGGACATGGACATGGACGTGGACATGGACATGGACGTGGACATGGACATGGACGTGGACGTGGACATGGACGTGGACATGGACGTGGACATGGACGTGGACTTGGACGTGGACGTGGACATGGACGTGGACGTGGACATGGACGTAGACGTGGACGTGGACGTGGACATGGACGTGGACGTGGACGTGGACGTGGACATGGACGTGGACGTGGACATGGACGTGGACGTGGACGTGGACGTGGACGTGGACGTGGACCGTGGACGTGGACGTGGACGTAGACGTGGACGTGGACGTGGACGTGGACGTGGATGTGGACGTGGACATGGACGTGGACGTGGACGTGGACGTGGACGTGGACATGGATGGGACGTGGACCTGGACGTGGACGTGGACGAGGACGTGGACGTGGACGTGGACATGGACGTGGACCGTGGACGTGGACGTGGACGTGGACGTAGACGTGGACATGGACGTGGACGTGGACGTGGACGTGGACGTGGACATGGACATGGACGTGGACCTGGACGTGGACGTGGACGTGGACGTGGACGTGGACGAGGATGTGGACGTGGACGAGGACGTGGACGTGGACGTGGACGTGGACGTGGACACGGACACGGACGTAGACATGGACGTGGACGTGGACGTGGACGTGGACCTGGACGTGGACGTGGACGTGGACGTGGACATGGACGTGGACGTGGACGGGGACGTAGACGTGGACGTGGACGTGGACGTGGACGTGGACATGGACGTGGACGTGGACGTGGACGTGGACATGGACGTAGACGTGGACGTGGCCGTGGACGTGGACGTAGAAATGGACGTGGACGTGGACGTGGACATGGACGTGGACGTGGACGTGGACGTAGAAATGGACGTGGACGTGGACGTGGACGTGGACGTGGACATGGACGTGGACATGGACGTGGACGTGGACGTGGACGTGGACATGGACGTGGACGTGGACGTGGATGTGGACGTGGACGTAGTTATGGACGTGGAGGTGGACGTGGACGTGGACATGGACGTGGACATGGACGTGGACATGGACGTGGACATGGACGTGGACATGGACATGGACGTAGACACGGACGTGGACGTGGACATGGACGTGGACGTGGACGTGGACGTAGAAATGGACGTGGACGTGGACGTGGACATGGACGTGGACGTAGACGTGGACGTGGACATGGACGTGGACTTGGACGTGGACGTGGACATGGACGTGGACATGGAGGTAGACGTGGACGTGGACATCGACGTGGACGTGGACGTGGACGTGGACATGGACGTGGACGTGGACGTGGACATGGACGTGGACATGGATGTGGACATGGACGTGGACGTGGACATGGACGTGGACGTGGACATGGACGTGGACGTGGACATGGACGTGGACGTGGACGTGGACATGGACGTGGACTTGGACGTGGACGAAGACCTGGACGTGGACATGGACGTGGACATGGACGTCGACGTGGACGTGGACGTGGACGTGGACATGGACGTGGACGTGGACGTGGACATGGACGTGGACGTGGACGTGGACATGGACGTGGACATGGACGTGGACATGGACGTGGACGTGGACATGAACGTGGACGTGGACATGGACGTGGACGTGGACGTGGACGTGGACGTGGACATGGACGTGGACATGGACGTGGACTTGGACGTGGACGTGGACATGGACGTGGACGTGGACATGGACGTAGACGTGGACGTGGACGTGGACATGGACGTGGACGTGGACGTGGACGTGGACGTGGACGTGGACATGGACGTGGACGTGGACATGGACGTGGACGTGGACGTGGACGTGGACGTGGACGTGGACCGTGGACGTGGACGTGGACGTGGACGTAGACGTGGACGTGGACGTGGACGTGGACGTGGACGTGGACGTGGACATGGACGTGGACGTGGACCTGGACGTGGACGTGGACGAGGACGTGGACGTGGACGTGGAAGTGGACGTGGACGTGGACACGGACACGGACGTGGACGTGGACGTGGACGTGGACGTGGACCTGGACGTGGACGTGGACGTGGACGTGGACGTGGACATGGACGTGGACGTGGACATGGACGTGGACATGGACGTAGACGTGGACGTGAACGTGGACGTGGACGTAGAAATGGACGTGGACGTGGACGTGGACATGGACGTGGACGTGGACGTGGACGTAGAAATGGACGTGGACGTGGACGTGGACGTGGACGTGGACATGGACGTGGACATGGACGTGGACGTGGACGTGGACGTGGACATGGACGTGGACGTGGACGTGGATGTGGACGTGGACGTAGTTATGGACGTGGAGGTGGACGTGGACGTGGACATGGACGTGGACATGGACGTGGACATGGACGTGGACATGGACGTGGACATGGACATGGACGTGGACATGGACGTGGACGTGGACATGGACGTGGACGTGGACGTGGACGTAGAAATGGACGTGGACGTGGACGTGGACATGGACGTGGACGTAGACGTGGACGTGGACATGGACGTGGACTTGGACGTGGACGTGGACATGGACGTGGACATGGACGTAGACGTGGACGTGGACATGGACGTGGACGTGGACGTGGACGTGGACGTGGACGTGGACATGGACGTGGACGTGGACGTGGACATGGAGGTGGACGTGGACGTGGACGTGGACGTGGACATGGACGTGGACGTGGACGTGGACATGGAGGTGGACATGGATGTGGACATGGACGTGGACGTGGACATGGACGTGGACGTGGACGTGGACGTGGACGTGGACGTGGACTTGGACGTGGACGTGGACTTGGACGTGGACGAGACGTGGACGTGGACGTGGACGTCGACGTGGACGTGGACGTGGACGTGGACGTGGACGTGGACGTGGACCTGGACATGGACGTGGACGTGGACGTGGACGTGGACGTGGACCTGGAAATGGACGTGGACGTGGACGTGGACGTGGAGGTGGACGTGGACATGGACAAGGACGTAGAAATGGACGTGGACGTGGACGTGCACATGGACGTGGACGTGGACGTGGACATGGACGTGGACGTGGACATGGACGTGGACGTAGAAATGGACATAGACGTGGACGTGGACATGGACGTGGACGTAGACGTGGACGTGGACGTGGACGTAGACGTGGACGTGGACATGGACGTGGACTTGGACGTGGACGTGGACATGGACGTGGACATGGACGTGGACGTGGACGTGGACATGGACGTGGACATGGACGTGGACGTAGACGTGGACGTGGACGTGGACATGGACGTGGACGTAGAAATGGACGTGGACGTGGACGTGGACATGGACCTGGACGTAGACGTGGACGTGGACGTGGACGTAGACGTGGACGTGGACGTGGACGTGGACAGGGACGTGGACGTGGACGCGGACATGGACGTGGACGTGGACGTGGACGTAGAAATGGACGTGGACGTGGACGTGGACGTGGACATGGACGTGGACGTAGACGTGGACGTGGACGTGGACGTGGACGTGGACGTGGACATGGACGTGGACGTAGACGTGGACGTGGACGTGGATGTAGAAATGGACGTGGACGTGGATGTAGAAACCGTTGGATTCCCTCTACTTTTTGAGAAATGAGCAGTTTCCGTACTCCTTGGCCCTAGTTGCACTAAAAGTGCGAAATGCCGGCCAGACTGGCCGATGCACCATTTTCTCTACACATGTGCGTTAGTTACCTTTCAAACCCTTACGTTCACTAGATGAATTTATTTCCTACCTTCTATTTGAGTGAGACCACTAGATTCCGTGTACTATGCGAGATCTCAGCGCTTCCGTTCTCCCTGGCATTTGCACTCTTAGTTCCGATACTGACCGACCTGGCCAATGCACCATTTTCTCTATACATGTGCGTTGAATAAATTTCAAACCTTTTTACCTGATTAGATTTATATATTTCCCACCTTCTGATCGAGTGAGACCGCTAGATTCCCTTTACTTTTTGAGAAATGAGCGTTTCCGTTCTCCGTGGCCCTACTTGCACTATAAGTGCGAAATGCCGGCCAGACTGGCCGATGCACCATTTTCTCTACACATGTGCGTTAGTTACCTTTCAAACCCTTAGGTTCACTAGATGAATATATTTCCTACCTTCTATTTGAGTGAGACCACTAGATTCCGTGTACTATGCGAGATCTGAGCGCTTCCGTTCTCCCTGGCATTTGCACTCTAAGTTCCCATACTGACCGACCTGGCCAATGCACCATTTTCCATATACATATGCATTAGATTCCTTTCAAACCTTATTAGCTCACTAGATTTATATATTTCCCACCTTCTGATCGAGTGAGACCGCTAGATTCCCTCTACTTTTTGAGAAATGAGCGTTTCCGTTCTCCTTGGCCCTAGTTGCACTATAAGTGCGAAATGCCGGCCAGACTGGCCGATGCACAATTTTCTCTACACATGTGCGTAAGTTACCTTTCAAACCCTTACGTTCACTAGATGAATATATTTCCTACTTTCTATTTGAGTGAGACCACTTGATTCCGTGTACTATGCGAGATCTTAGCGCTTCCGTTCTCCCTGGCATTTGCATTTTAAGTTCCGATACTGACCGACCTGGCCAATGCACCATTTTCTCTATACATGTGTGTTGAATACATTTCAAACCTTTTTAGCTGACTAGATTTATATATTTCCCACCTTCTGATCGAGTGAGACCGTTAGATTCCCTCTACTTTTTGAGAAACGAGCGTTTCCGTTCTCCCTGGCCCCACCTGCACTATAAGTGCGAAATGCCGGCTAGACTGGCCGATGCACCATTTTCTCCACATATGTGCGTTAGTTACCTTTCAAACCCTTACGTTCACTAGATGAATATATTTCCTACCTGTCAAAAGTTAGAAGAAAGAAAGAGGATTGAACTAGCAAGAATGAGGATACAAATAGCAAACCCTAGAAGGGTTGTACTCGCTATAGAGCACCCCACTACAGGCTAGAACAATAAGATAATATTCTGACACACCCCCATAGCCAAAGTGGGGTGTAATCAGCAGAGCAGGCAAAGCAAAACAAGCTCAGGGTGGATCACAATGTCACCACACATTCTGAGCACAAGTTCAAGAAGAAATAGTTTAGAGTTTACAATTATAAGCAAAGCTAGTGGTAGTCACAACGAGCAAGTGAGGAGGAGGAGGGAGAGTGAGGGGAGAGGAGACAGGAGGCGACGGCTGAAGCTGCAGACACACGGGCAACAGGAGGCAGACTGGCACAGCGGCTACCGGACAGCGCCCGGACTACAGGGGTAACAGGCCCCGCGGCTCAAATAGCGGCGGACGGGCAACGGACCCACGGGCGGCTGGCACAGCTGGCTACGACTGGGCTACCGGGACAGCGCCCCGGACTACAGGTGCTGCTGACGACAAACTGGCAACCTCCGCTCATCCTCCCGCACACAGTCCCACCCCCCTGATACACACCCACTGCTACACCACTAGCTCTACTCCCACGCACCCCCCTAAAACCCTAAACCCAGTCTCCCACACAACCACCCCCCTCAGCGACAGCTGCAGCAGTGGGAGACGAAGGAGGAGGAGGAGAAAGGGAGGAAGGCACACCGGCCACCCCCATACCCGCCACCCCACAGCTCGCCCCTCAGGTCGCCTCGACGGGCGACGGGAAATGGCAGGGGGGGGGGGGGGGGGGGGGGGGGGGAGAGTGGGGCCCACGACGGACCTGAGAGGAGAGCGGGGCCGCGACAAGGGGCGGGGCCGCTTCGAAGGGACGGGGCCGCGACGCAGGGCGGGGCCGCGACGTAGGGCGGAGCCGCGACTGTAGGGCGGGGCCGCGACGGTAGGGCGGGGCCGCGACGAGGGCGGGGCCGTGTCGGTCGGGGCGGGGCCGCGACGTAGGGCAGACGCCCGCGAAGGTGGGGCGGGGCCGCGACGGTCGGGACAGGGCCGCTTCGAGGGGCGGGGCCGCGACGCAGGGCGGGGCCGCGACATAGGGCGGGGCCGCGTCGAGGGGCGGGGCCGCGACGAAGGGCGGGGCCGCGACGTAGGGGAGAAGCCCGACGTAGGGCGGGGCCGCGACGTAGAGCAGACGCCCGCCGCACGCCTCGGGGCGCACAGCGGGCAAAGAACCGCCGCGCGCCCTAGGGCGCACGGCGGGCAGAAAACCGCCGCGCGCCTCGGGGCGCCCGGCGGGAAGGAAAAAAAATCGCCGCGCGCCTCGGGGCGCACGGCGGGAAGGAAAGGTAGCAGCGGAAGCAAGGTGGGGACACACCCACAGGATCGATCCAAGGGGATCGACCTGCTCTGATAGCATGTCAAAAGTTAGAAGAAAGAAAGAGGATTGAACTAGCAAGAATGAGGATACAAATAGCAAACCTAGAAGGGTTGTACTCGCTATAGAGCACCCCACTACAGGCTAGAACAATAAGATAATATTCTGACACTACCTTCTTTTTGAGTGAGACCACTAGATTCCGTGTATTATGCGAGATCTGAGCGGTTCCGTTCTCCCAGGCATTTGCACTCTAAGTTCCCATACTGACCGACCTGGCCAATGCACCACTTTCCATATACATATGCATTAGATTCCTTCCGAACCTTATTAGCTCACTAGATTTATATATTTCCCACCTTCTGAACGAGTGAGACCGCTAGATTCCCTTTACTTTTTGAGAAATGAGCGTTTCCGTTCTCCTTGGCCCTACTTGCACTATAAGTGCGAAATGCCGGCCATACAGGCCGATGCACCATTTTCTCTACACATGTGCGTTAGTTACCTTTCAAACCCTTACGTTCACTAGATGAATTTATTTCCTACCTTCTATTTGAGTGAGACCACTAGATTCCGTGTACTATGCGAGATCTGAGCGCTTCCGTTCTCCCTGGCATTTGCACTCTAAGTTCCCATACTCACCGACCTGGCCAATGCACCATTTTCCATATACATATGCATTAGATTCCTTTCGAACCTTATTAGCTCACTAGATTTATATATTTCCCACCTTCTGATCGAGTGAGACCGCTAGATTCCCTTTACTTTTTCAGAAATGAGCGTTTCCGTTCTCCTTGGCCCTACTAGCACTATAAGTGCGAAATGCCGGCCAGACTGGCCGATGCACCATTTTCTCTACACATGTGCGTTAGTTACCTTTCAAACCCTTACGTTCACTAGATGAATTTATTTCCTACCTTCTATTTGAGTGAGACCACTAGATTCCGTGTACTATGCGAGATCTGAGCGCTTCCGTTCTCCCTGGCATTTGCACTCTAAGTTCCCATACTCACCGACCTGGCCAATGCACCATTTTCCATACACATTTGCATTAGATTCCTTTGGAACCTTATTAGCTCACTAGATTTATATATTTCCCACCTTCTGATCGAGTGAGACCGCTAGATTCCCTTTACGTTTTGAGAAATGAGCGTTTTCGTTCTCCGTGGCCCTACTTGCACTATAAGTGCGAAATGCCGGCCAGACTGGCCGATGCACCATTTTCTCTACACATGTGCGTTAGTTACCTTTCAAACCCTTACGTTCACTAGATGAATTTATTTCCTACCTTCTATTTGAGTGAGACCACTAGATTCCGTGAACTATGCGAGATCTGAGCGCTTCCGTTCTCCCTGGCATTTGCACTCTAAGTTCCCATACTGACCGACCTGGCCAATGCACCATTTTCCATATACATATGCATTAGATTCCTTTCGAACCTTATTAGCTCACTAGATTTATATATTTCCCACCTTCTGATCGAGTGAGACCGCTAGATTCCCTCTACTTTTTGAGAAATGAGCGTTTCCGTTCTCCTTGGCCCTAGTTGCACTATAAGTGCGAAATGCCGGCCAGACCCGAGGGGTCGCTAAAAAAAAATCGCGCCTCGGGGCGCGCTTCGGTGGGCCCAAAAAAACAGTCCTTAGAAGGACCCGCTCTATACCATGTGAGAATAAACGAACAGGAATGAATGAACTAGCAGTGAAATGAGTACAAGTAGGAAACCCTAGAATTGTGTACCCCCTATAGGCTAACCCACTATAGCCTACACAAGCATAACATATATAATGTTTGACACGGTCAGTATGGGAACTTAGAGTGCAAATGCCTGGGAGAACGGAACCGCTCAGATCTCGCATAATACACGGAATCTAGTGGTCTCACTCAAATATAAGGTAGGAAATATATTCATCTAGTGAACGTAAGGGTTTGAAAGGTAACTAACGCACATGTGTAGAGAAAATGGTGCATCGGCCAGTCTGGCCGGCATTTCGCACTCATAGTGCAGGTGGGGCCAGGGAGAACGGAAACGCTCGTTTCTCAAAAAGTAGAGGGAATCTAACGGTCTCACTCAATCAGAAGGTGGGAAATATATAAATCTAGTCAGCTAAAAAGGTTTGAAATGTATTCAACGCACATGTATAGAGAAAATGGTGCATTGGCCAGGTCGGTCAGTATCGGAACTTAAAATGCAAATGCTAGGGAGAACGGAAGCGCTTAGATGTCACATAGTACACGGAATCAAGTGGTCTCACTCAAATAGAAAGTAGGAAATATATTCATCTAGTGAACGTAAGGGTTTGAAAGGTAACTAACGCACATGTGTAGAGAAAATTGCGCATCGGCCAGTCTGGCCGGCATTTCGCACTTATAGTGCAAGTAGGGCCAAGGAGAACGGAAACGCTCATTTCTCAAAAAGTAGAGGGAATCTAGCGGTCTCACTCGATCAGAAGGTGGGAAATATATAAATCTAATGAGCTAATAAGGTTCGAAAGGAATCTAATGCATATGTATATGGAAAATGGTGCATTGGCCAGGTCGGTCACTATGGGAACTTAGAGTGCAAATGCCAGGGAGAACGGAAGCGCTCAGATCTCGCATAGTACACGGAATCTAGTGGTCTCACTCAAATAGAAGGTAGGAAATAAATTCATCTAGTGGACGTAAGGGTTTGAAAGGTAACTAACGCACATGTGTAGAGAAAATGGAGCATCGGCCAGTCTCGCCGGCATTTCGCACTTATAGTGCAAGTAGGGCCAAGGAGAACGGAAACGCTCATTTCTCAAAAAGTAAAGGGAATCTAGCAGTCTCACTCGATCAGAAGGTGGGAAATATATAAATCTAGTGAGCTAGTAAGGTTCCGAAGGAATCTAATGCATATGTATATCCAAAGTGGTGCATTGGCCAGGTCGGTCAGTATGGGAACTTAGAGTGCAAATGCCTGGGAGAACGGAACCGCTCAGATCTCGCATAATACACGGAATCTAGTGGTCTCACTCAAATATAAGATAGGAAATATATTCATCTAGTGAACGTAAGGGTTTGAAAGGTAACTAACGCACATGTGAAGAGAAAATGGTGCATCGGCCAGTCTGGCCGGCATTTCGCACTCATAGTGCAGGTGGGGCCAGGGAGAACGGAAACGCTCGTTTCTCAAAAAGTGGAGGGAATCTAACGATCTCACTCGATCAGAAGGTGGGAAATATATAAATCTAGTCAGCTTAAAAGGTTTGAAATGTATTCAACGCACATGTATAGAGAAAATGGTGCATTCGCCAGGTCGGTCAGTATCGGAACTTAAAATGCAAATGCCAGGGAGAACGGAAGCGCTCAGATCTCGCATAGTACACGGAATCAAGTGGTCTCACTCAAATAGAAAGTAGGAAATAAATTCATCTAGTGAACGTAAGGGTTTGAAAGGTAACTAACGCACATGTGTAGAGAAAATTGTGCATCGGCCAGTCTGGCCGGCATTTCGCACTTATAGTGCAACTAGGGCCAAGGAGAACGGAAACGCTCATTTCTCGAAAAGTAGAGGGAATCTAGAGGTCTCACTTGATCAGAAGGTGGGAAATATATAAATCTAGTAAGCTAATAAGGTTCGAAAGGAATCTAATGCATATGTATATGGAAAATGGTGCATTGGCCAGGTCGGTCAGTATGGGAACTTAGAGTGCAAATGCCAGGGAGAACGGAAGCGCTCAGATCTCGCATAGTACACGGAATCTAGTGGTCTCACTCAAATAGAAGGTAGGAAATAAATTCATCTAGTGAACGTAAGGGTTTGAAAGGTAACTAACGCACATGTGTAGAGAAAATGGTGCATCGGCCAGTCTGGCCGGCATTTCGCACTTTTAGTGCAACTAGGGCCAAGGAGTACGGAAACGCTCATTTCTCAAAAAGTAGAGGGAATCCAGCGGTCTCACTCGATCAGAAGGTGGGAAATATATAATTATAGTGAGCTAATAAGGCTCGAAAGGAATCTAATGCATATGTATATGGAAAATGGTGCATTGGCCAGGTCGGTCAGTATGGGAACTTAGAGTGCAAATGCCAGGGAGAACGGAAGGGCTCAGATCTCGCATAGTACACGGAATCTAGTGGTCTCACTCAAAAAGAATGTAGGAAATAAATTCATCTAGTGAACGTAAGGGTTTGAAAGGTAACTAACGCACATGTGTAGAGAAAATGGTGCATCGGCCAGTCTGGCCGGCATTTCGCACTTTTAGTGCAACTAGGGCCAAGGAGAACGGAAACGCTCATTTCTCAAAAAGTAAAGGGAATCTAGCGGTCTCACTCGATCAGAAGGTGGGAAATATATAAATCTAGTGAGCTAATAAGGTTCGGAAGGAATCTAATTCATATGTATATGGAAAGTGGTGCATTGGCCAGGTCGGTCAGTATGGGAACTTAGAGTGCAAATGCCTCGGAGAACGGAACCGCTCAGATCTCGCATAATACACGGAATCTAGTGGTCTCACTCAAATATAAGGTAGGAAATATATTCATCTAGTGAACGTAAGGGTTTGAAAGGTAACTAACGCACATGTGTAGAGAAAATGGTGCATTGGCCACTCTAGCCGGAATTTCGCACTCATAGTGCAGGTCGGGCCAGGGAGAACGGAAACGCTCGTTTCTCAAAAAGTTGAGGGAATCTAACGGTCTCACTTGATGAGAAGGTGGGAAATATATAAATCTAGTCAGCTAAAAAGGTTTGAAATGTATTCAATGGACATGTATAGAGAAAATGGTGCATTGGCCAGGTCGGTCAGAATCGGAACGACCACGTCCATGTCCACGTCCACGTTCATGTCCAAGTCCATGTCCCTGTCTACGTCCACGTCCACGTCCACGTCCTCGTCCACGTCCTCGTCCACGTCAATGTCTACGTCCACGTCCACGTCGTCGTCCTTGTCCAGGTCCACGTCCACGTCCATGTCCACGACCACATCCACGTCCACGACCACGTCCACGTCCACGTCCACGTCCACGTCCACGTCTAAGTCCATGTCGACGTCCACGCCCACGTCCACGTCCACATCCACGCCCATGTCTTCGTCCACATCCACGTCCACGTCCATGTCCACGTCCATGTCCACGTCCAAGTTCTCCACGTCCACGTCCACTTCCACGTCGACGTCCACGTACACGTCCACGTCCATGTCCACGTCCACGTCCACGTCCACGTCCATGTCCACGTCCATGTCCACGTCCACGTCCATGTCCACGTCCATGTTCACGTCCCTGTCTTGTTCACGTCCACGTCCATGTCCACGTCCACGTCCACGTCCACGTCCACGACCATGTCCACGTCCACGTCCATGTCCACGTCCACGTCCACGTCCACGTCCATGTCCAGGTCCATGTCAACGTCCACGTCCACGTCCACGTCCACGTCCAAGTCCACGTCCACGTCCACGTCCATGTCCATGTCCACGTCCACGTCCACATCCATGTCCACGTCAAAGTCCTCCACGTCCACGTCCACGTCCACGTTCACGTCCATGTCCACGTCCAAGTTCTCCACGTCCACGTCCACGTCCACGTCCACGTCCTCCACGTCTACGTCCACGTCCACGTCCACGTCCACGTCCACGTCCACGTCTACGTCCACGTCCACGTCCACGTCCATGTCCACGTCCACGTCCACGTCCACGTCCACTCCACGTCCACGTCCACTTCCACGTCCACGTCCATGTCCACGTCCATGTCCACGTCCACGTCCACGTCCACCTCCATGTCCACGTCCACGTCCACGTCGACGTCCACGTCCACGTCCACGTCAACGTCCACGTCCACATCCACGTCCACTCCACGTCCACGTCCATGTCCACGTCCAGGTCCTCCACGTCTACGTCCACGTCCACGTTCACGTCCATGTCCACGTCCAAGTTCTCCACGTCCACGTCCACGTCCACGTCCACGTCCAAGTTCTCCACGTCCACGTCCTCGTCCACGTCCACGTCCACGTCCACGTCCACGTCCTCCACGTCCACGTCCACGTCCATGTCCACGTCCACGTCTACGTCTACGTCCACGTCCATGTCCACGTCTACGTCCACGTCCACGTCCACGTCCACGTCCACGTCCACGTCCACGTCCATGTCCACGTCCACGTCCACGTCCACGTCCACTCCACGTCTACCTCCACGTCCATGTCCACGTCCACGTCCACGTCCATGTCCACGTCCACGTCCACGTCCACGTCCATGTCCACGTCCACGTCCATGTCCACGTCCATGTCCACGTTCACGTCCATGTCCACGTCCAAGATCTCCACGTCCACGTCCACGTCCACGTCCACGTCCACGTCCACGTCCACGTCCACTCCACGTCCACGTCCACGTCCACGTCCACCGTCCACGTCTACCGTCCACGTCCACCGCCACGTCCACGTCCACGTCCACGTCCACGTCCACGTCCAGGTCCACGTCCACGTCCACGTCCACGTCCACGTCCACTCCACGTCCACTCCACGTCCACCTCCACGTCCACCTCCACGTCCACGTCCACGTCCACGTCCACGTCCACGTCCACCTCCACGTCCACGTCCACGTCCACGTCCACGTCCACGTCCACCTCCACGTCCACGTCCACCTCCACGTCAATGTCCACGTCCACGTCCACGTCCACGTCCACGACCACGTCCACGTCCACGTCCACGTCCACGTCCACGTCCACGACCACGTCCACGTCCACGTCCACGTCCACGTCCACGTCCACGTCTATGTCCACGTCCATGTCCACGTCCAAGTCCTCCACGTCCACGTCCACGTCCACGTCCATGTCCACGTCCATGTCCACGTCCACGTCCACGTCCATGTCCACGTTAACGTCCATGTCCACGTCCACGCCCTCGTCCATGTCCACGTCCACGTCCACGACCATGTCTATGTCTACGTCAGGGACCATGTCTACGTCCATGTCCACGTCCACGTCCACGTCCGCGTCCACGACCACGTCCACGTCCACGTCCGCGTCCACGTCCATGTCCACGTCTACGTCCATGTCCACGTCCATGTCCGCGTCCAGGTCCACGTCCACGTCCACGTCCGCGTCCACGTCCACGTCCACGTCCCCGTCCACGTCCACGTCCACGTCCCCGTCCACGTCCACGTCCACGACCACGTCCACGTCCACGTCCACGTCCACGACCACGTCCACGTCCACGTCCTCCACGTCTACGTCCACGTCCACGTCCACGTCCACGTCTACGTCCACGTCCACCTCCACGTCAATGTCCACGTCCACGTCCACGTCCACGTCCACGTCCACGACCACGTCCATGTTATTTGCACTCGAAGTTCCCATACTGACCAACCTGGCCAATGCACCATTTTCCATATACATATGCATTAGATTCCTTTCAAACCTTTTTAGCTCACTAGATTTTTATATTTCCCACCTTCTGATCGAGTGAGACCGCTAGATTCCCTCTACTTTTTGAGAAATAAGCGTTTTCGTTCTCCTTGGCCCTAGTTGCACTATCAGTGCGAAATGCCGGCCATACTGGCTGACGCACAATTTTCTCTACACATGTGAGTTAGATACCTTTCAAACCCTTATGTTCACTAGATGAATATATTTCATACTTTCTATTTGGGTGAGACCACTTGATTCCGTGTACTATGCGAGATCTGAGCTCTTCCGTTCTCCCTGGCATTTGCATTTTAAGTTCCGATACTGACCGACCTGGCCAATGCACCATTTTCTCTATACATGTGCATTGAATACATTTCAAACCTTTTTAGCTGACTAGATTTATATATTTCCCACCTTCTGATTGAGTGAGACGGTTAGATTCCCTCTACTTTTTGAGAAACGAGCGTTTCCGTTCTCCCTGGCCCCACCTGCACTATGAGTGCGAAATGCTGGCCAGACTGGCCGATGCACCATTTTCTCTACACATGTGCGTTAGTTACCTTTCAAACCCTTATGTTCACTAGATGAATATATTTCCTACCTTATATTTGAGTGAGACCACTAGATTCCGTGTATTATGCGAGATCTGAGCAGTTCCGTTCTCCCAGGCATTTGCACTCTAAGTTCCCATACTGACCGACCTGGCCAATGCACCATTTTCCATATACATATGCATTAGATTCCTTTCGAACCTTATAAACTCACTAGATTTATATATTTCCCACCTTCTAATCGAGTGAGACCGCTAGATTCCCTTTACTTTTTGAGAAATTAGCGTTTCCGTTCTCCTTGGCCCACTTGCACTATAAGTGCGAAATGCCGGCCAGACTGGCCGATGCACCATTTTCTCTACACATGTGCGTTAGTTACCTTTCGAACCCTTACGTTCACTAGATGAATTTATTTCCTACCTTCTAGACCACTAGATCTGAGTACTAGATTCCGTTTTTTGAGTGAGACCACTAGATTCCGTGTACTATGCGAGATCTGAGCGCTTCCGTTCTCCCTAGCATTTGCACTCTAAGTTCCCATACTGACCGACCTGGCCAATGCACCATTTTCCATATACATATGCATTAGATTCCTTTCGAACCTTATTAGCTCACTAGATTTATATATTTCCCACCTTCTGATCGAGTGAGACCACTAGATTCCCTCTACTTTTTGAGAAATGAGCGTTTTCGTTCTCCTTGGCCGTACTTGCACTATAAGTGCGAAATGCCGGCCAGACTGGCCGATGCACAATTTTCTCTACACATGTGTGTTAGTTACCTTTCAAACCCTTACGTTCACTAGATGAATATATTTCCTACTTTCTATTTGAGTGAGACCACTCAATTCCGTGTACTATGCGAGATCTGAGCGCTTCCGTTCTCCCTGGCATTTGCATTTTAAGTTCCGATACTGACCGACCTGGCCAGTGCACCATTTTCTCTATACATGTGCGTTGAATACATCTCAAACCTTTTTAGCTGACTAGATTTATATATTTCCCACCTTCTGATCGAGTGAGACCGTTAGATTCCCTCTACTTTTTGAGAAACGAGCGTTTCCGTTCTACCTGGCCCCACCTGCACTATGAGTGCGAAATGCCGGCCAGACTGGCCGATGCACCATTTTCTCTACACATGTGCATTAGTTACCTTTCAAACCCTTACGTTCACTAGATGAATATATTTCCTACCTTATATATGAGTGAGACCACTAGATTCCGTGTATTATGCGAGATCTGAGCGGTTCCGTTCTCCCAGGCATTTGCACTCTAAGTTCCCATACTGACCGACCTGGCCAATGCACCACTTTCCATATACATATGCATTAGATTTCTTTTGAACCTTATAAGCTCACTAGATTTATATATTTCCCACCTTCTGATCGAGTGAGACTGCTAGATTCCCTTTACTTTTTGAGAAATGAGCGTTTCCGTTCTCCTTGGCCCTACTTGCACTATAAGTGCGAAATGCCGGCCAGACTGGCCGATGCACCATTTTCTCTACACATGTGCGTTAGTTACCTTTCAAACCCTTACGTTCACTAGATGAATTTATTTCATACCTTCTATTTGAGTGAGACCACTAGATTCCGTGTACTATGCGAGATCTGAGCGCTTCCGTTCTCCCTGGCATTTGCATTTTAAGTTCCCATACTGACCGACCTGGCCAATGCACCATTTTCCATATACGTATGCATTAGATTCCTTTCGAACCTTATTAGCTCACTAGATTTATATATTTCCCACCTTCTGATCGAGTGAGACCGCTAGATTCCCTTTACTTTTTGAGAAATGAGCGTTTCCGTTCTCCTTGGCCCTACTTGCACTATAAGTGCGAAATGCCGGCCAGACTGGCCGATGCACCATTTTCTCCACACATGTGCGTTAGTTACCTTTCAATCCCTTACGTTCATTAGATAAATTTATTTCCTACCTTCTATTTGAGTGAGACCACTAGATTCCGTGTACTATGCGAGATCTGAGCGGTTCCGTTCTCACAGGCATTTGCACTCTAAGTTGCCATACTGACCGACCTGGCCAATGCACCAGTTTCCATATACATATGCATTAGATTCCTTGTGAACCTTATAAGCTGACTAGATTTATATATTTCCCACCTTCTGATCGAGTGAGACCGCTAGATTCCCTTTACTTTTTGAGAAATGAGCGTTTCCGTTCTCCTTGGCCCTACTTGCACTATAAGTGCGAAATGCCGGCCAGACTGGCCGACGCACCATTTTCTCTACACATGTGCGTTAGTTACCTTTCAAACCCTTACGTTCACTAGATGAATTTATTTCCTACCTTCTATTTGAGTGAGACCACTAGATTCCGTGTACTATGCGAGATCTGAGCGCTTCCGTTCTCCCTGGCATTTGCACTCTAAGTTCCCATACTGACCGACCTTGCCAATGCACCATTTTCCATATACATATGCATTAGATTCCTTTCGAACCTTATTAGCTCACTAGATTTATATATTTCCCACCTTATGTTCGAGTGAGACCGCTAGATTCCCTTTACTTTTTGAGAAATGAGTGTTTCCGTTCTCCTTGGCCCTACTTGCACTATAAGTGCGAAATGCCGGCCAGATTGGCCGATGCACCATTTTCTCTACACATGTGCGTTAGTTACCTTTCAAACCCTTACGTTCACTAGATGAATTTATTTCCTACCTTCTATTTGAGTGAGACCACTAGATCCCGTGTACTATGCGAGATCTGAGCACTTCCATTCTCCCTGGCATTTGCACTCTAAGTTCCCATACTGACCGACCTGGCCAATGCACCATTTTCCATATACATATGCATTAGATTCCTATCGAACCTTATTAGCTCACTAGATTTATATATTTCCCACCTTCTGATCGAGTGAGACCGCTAGATTCCCTTTACTTTTTGAGAAATGAGCGTTTCCGTTCTCCTTGGCCCTACTTGCACTATAAGTGCGAAATGCCGGCCAGACTGGCCGACGCACCATTTTCTCTACACATGTGCGTTAGTTACCTTTCAAACCCTTACGTTCACTAGATGAATTTATTTCCTACCTTGTATTTGAGTGAGACCACTAGATTCCGTGTACTATGCGAGATCTGGGCGCTTCCGTTCTCCCTGGCATTTGCACTCTAAGTTCCCATACTGACCGACCTGGCCAATGCACCATTTTCCATATACATATGCATTAGATTCCTTTCGAACTTTATTAGCTCACTAGATTTATATATTTCCCACCTTATGATCGAGTGAGACCGCTAGATTCCCTTTACTTTTTGAGAAATGAGTGTTTCCGTTCTCCTTGGCCCTACTTGCACTATAAGTGCGAAATGCCGGCCAGACTGGCCGATGCACTATTTTCTCTACACATGTGCGTTAGTTACCTTTCAAACCCTTACGTTCACTAGATGAATTTATTTCCTACCTTCTATTTGAGTGAGACCACTAGATTCCGTGTACTATGCGAGATCCGAACACTTCCGTTCTCCCTGGCATTTGCACTCTAAGTTCCCATACTGACCGACCTGGCCAATGCACCATTTTCCATATACATATGCATTAGATTCCTTTCGAACCTTATTAGCTCACTAGATTTATATATTTCCCACCTTCTGATCGAGTGAGACCGCTAGATTCCCTTTACTTTTTGAGAAATGAGCGTTTCCGTTCTCCTTGGCCCTACTTGCACTATAAGTGCGAAATGCCGGCCAGACTGGCCGATGCACCATTTTCTCTACACATGTGCGTTAGTTACCTTTCAAACCCTTACGTTCACTAGATGAATTTATTTCCTACCTTCTATTTGAGTGAGACCACTAGATTCCGCGTACTATGTGAAATAAATGACCAGGAATGAAATGACTAAGTCAGAGTTGGGTACAAATACAACCCTAGAAAGCTGTACCCCATATGTGCTCCCCCACTATAGCCTACAAACATGCATCACCAATAATACTCTGACACACCCCCATAGGCAAAGTGGGGGAGAACAAGGGGTCACAAGACCAGTCAACCAAAGCAAAGCAAAGCAAGCTCAGGGTGGATCACAAAGTCACCACACAGTCTGAGCACAAGAGCAGGGCCAGAGGCCAGTTCACATGCAGGAGTACAGACATATATATAAAACTAGACAAGCAGGAGCAGGTATATATATATGTCACAGAACAAGTAAAGTCAAGAAGAGAGCAAGTGAGGCAAGACAGGCACAAGACCCAGCTGGGTGCAGAAGCGCTGATGGTCACAAGGCGCGAGTGCCTTGGTGAACACATCAGCAATGTTGGCCTCAGAGGCCACGTACGCAAGTCGCAACTGACCACGCTGCTGCAGCTCACGAGCAAGGAAGTAGCGGAGAGCAATGTGCTTCGTTCTGTGCTCCAAGCGCTGCTCTCGACACAAGGCCAGCATGGCCTTGTTGTCTACGTACAGCACTGGAGGAGAACGAGGCGGCTCTCCAAGGTCAGTCAGCAGGTAGGTGAGCCAGCGAAGCTCCTGTGCAGCCATGGCCCCAGCGTAGATCTCAGCCTCACAACTGGAGCTGAGAACCGAAGACGAGCGAGTAGACCGCCACGAGAAAGAGCCGGAACCAAGACTGAAGGTGTAACCCTGTGACGACCGCTGCGTAGCCTGGTCGTCAGCCCAAGAAGCGTCCGCGTGCCCTGTAAGGACCACTGGACTCAGCCCTCCAAGCACTAGCCCCATGCCCGACGTACTGCACAGGTAGCGCAACACCCTCTTCGCTGCAGCCATGTGCTCTGGTCGGTGTCTCCCAGGAGCAACATAGCGTGCAAGAATGCTCAGAGGGTATGCAAGGTCAGGTCGTGTGCAGGTCATCAGGTACATGAGGCAGCCAACAAGCTCTGGGTACGGGCCACTCGACTCTACGGACTCATCCGAAGGCAGAGGCGAGAGCGAGTGACGAGTAGACAGAGGAGTGGCCTGAGGCGAGGAGTACGTGAAGCCGAAGCGCTGAAGGACCTGCTGCACCATGTGTGACTGAGTCAAGGTAATGGTGCGGCGTGCTCTGTCCCGAGTGATCTGCAAGCCAAGGTAGCTGCGCAGTTCACCCAGGTCTGTGCACGTGTGTCTCTTCAGCAGCTCGGACTTCACGTAGGCGAGTCCAGCAGTGTCCGCTGTGGCAAAGACCAAGTCGTCGACGTACACGAGGATGTAGAACGGCGGCAGAGAAGTGTCGGTGCGCAGAAACAGCGACGGGTCAGCAGTAGAAGGAGCAAACCCAAGAGCCGCAAGCGTAGTCCTCAGTGTGTCGTGCCACTCACGCGGTGCCTGGCGGAGACCGTAGACTGGCCGTCGGAGGCTCCACTGGGTGCCAGGAGGGAAAGTCCCAGTGAAGCCAGGTGGACGGCGCAGCCAGATCTCCTCGTGCAGGCTACATTGCAGGAACGCAGTGCTGAAGTCGAGAGAGTGAAGCTCGTAGTCGCGCTGAGCGGCTATGTGCAGCAGCACCCGAAGAGTGGTCATCTTCGGGGTGGGAGAGAAGGTCTGAAAGTAGTCAACTCCCTGCCGCTGGCTGAAGCCACGAGCAACGTATCGCGCCTTGAAGACAGGTGGAGAGCCCGGCGGCCGCTTCACCCGGAAGATCCACATGCCACTGACGATGTTCGCCCCAGGAGGGGGAACTGCGTCAACGTAGGTGCCTGTGGACTTCCAGGAAGCCATCTCTGCATCCATAGCTGCCTGCCACTGAGAGGAGTAGGGACCCTCTACGGCCTCCGCGTAAGAGCGCGGAGTCGGGATGTCTAGTGCATCCGGGTCTCCCTAAGGAGCAAGCAGTACAGACGCGAGATGAGGTGAAGCAGCAGCCAGACACTGGAACTCCTCCTGCCTGTCCTCTAGGACGTCCGTGCCAAGAGCACACTCACCCCCGACGGACGGAGGACAGACAGACGCAGACTCAGCAACAAGACTAGCAGCGTAGTCTAGACGACAGCGAGCAGCAAAGTCGACGAGTTCAGCGACAAGAGCAGATGCAGCAGTGGACTCAAACGAGGGGTCAGTGACGACAGTAGCAAGCAGACGCGGGACAGTAGGACTGGCAGCACGAAGAGAGTCCGACTCAGGGTCGGCAAGCGCAGGAAGAGAGGACTCAGGCGGAGAAGGCAAAGGGGCACGCAGAGGAGCAGTGGACGGACGCAGAGACATCCGGTGCGTGCCAGGGACAGGAGGAGGACGCTGACGCGAACCGCGACCACTAGCGCGAGCAGCACGAACAGGCGACGCGGGACGAGACGCAGGCTCACGACGCTCAGTAAGACCTCCAGTAGGACCAGTGTAAGGAGAGGGAGCAGGCAGAGGAGAGGAAGGCTCCAAGAGTGACTGCGACTGGACAGGCTGTGGACCCTCTACCGGAGGAGAAAGACCAAGAACTTGCTGCAGGAGCGGAACGAAGTACGGCCGAGGCCGCGCGGCAGCTCCAGACTCAGTAGGGACAGCACCACCACCCTCAGCGACAGTACCAGCGCCACCAACACCTCCAGCGGCAGGACCTCCAGCAGTACCAGTAGCAGAACCACCGAGAGGACAGACAGCAGTGGTCTCAGCACCAACACCCTCAGCAGCTCCAGCTCCAGGAGGACCCGCAGGCCCAGCAGCTCCGGGACCGGCAGCACCAGCACCCTCGACGGTCGAAGAAGCTCCAGCTCCAGCAGCACGCCTCCAGCGGCGAGCAAACCACTCGCGCAGCTCCTGGGGAGAGAGGGGCTCCCGTCAAGACGCAACAGCAGGAGAAACCCCAGGCTCAGCACCCCCAGGCTCAGCAGCTCCAGACTCAGCACCCCCAGGCTTAGCAGCTCCAGGCACAGCACCCCCCGGCGCAGCACCCTCCGCAATAGTATCCCCAGGCCCAGCACCCCCAGGCTCAGCACCCCCAGTAGCAGCACCTCCACGCCCGGCACCCCCGCGCACAGCACCCCCAGAGTCAGCACCCCCAGGCTCAGCACCCGCAGCAGCACCAGAGTCACCAGTAACCTCGACCGGGTCAACTGCGTCTACCTGGGACACACCTGAAGGGGCAGGAACCTGAGGGGGGAGGGGGTCTACCGGGGGGGAACCGGCACAAGGAAGTCCGGCGGAGGGTTTAGGGAAGGAGTGCGGTAGGGCAAGAGGCGGTAGAAGGGGACTGACTCGTCGAACGTGATGTCCTGGGAGGACAGAACACGACGAGAGGAGGGGTGGTAAAACTGCCACCCTGGAGCGTCAGTGGGGAAGCCAAGGAAGACACAGGGAGCAGCACGAGGGGACAGCTTGTCCGCAGACAAGTCGCGGACAAACGCCCGAGATCCCCAGACACGGAACGTCGACGCATCGCCAACCTTCCCCGTCCACAGCAAGACTGGGGACATCGCGGGCCGAGAGACCCTGGGGTGAAGGTTGAGCTGATGCGCCGCGTACCTCACCGCAAACGGCCACAGAAAATGGGGGGCAGCCGCATGCATCATGGACGTACGAGCGACATCCATGACCATGCCAATGCGGCGCTCAGCAATCCCATTTTGCTGTGGAGATTCCGGAAGCGTGAAGGTCTGGCGGATCCCTCGTGCACGACAGTAGTCTCGCAGAAGGCGCGAGGAGAACTCTCCGCCTCTATCCGAGTGCAGACGCAGAACAGGAAAGTCCGAGCCGAAGCTCTTCCTGAGCTGGAGACGAGCCTCGCGGATCCAGTCGATCAGCACCTCAGTGACAGCACCCTTGCTGCGCAAGGGGAGGACTGTGGTGTAACGCGAGTAGTCGTCAACCACCAACAGAAAGTAGCGCTCGTGACCCTGCCCACGGACGGGGGCTGGGCCCCACACGTCCATGTGAAGCGTCTGCAGAGGAGCCTCGGTCGGGGGGAACTGGGAGGAGTGAGGAGCAGCCCGGAGGCGACCCTCGACACAGGGGACACAGGAAGGTCCTGACCCGGAGGGAAGGGGAAGGAGAGACTGGGGAAGACCAGAGACAAGGACACGGGAAGCCATGCTCCGAAGACGGGGCAAGGAGGGGTGGCCAAGACGGTGGTGCCACAGGAGAGTCTCGTGAGACAGGAGGCGACAAGAACAGGGGGCAGACTCAGGACCTGACCGGGACGCAGCAGCAAGCACCTGACCTGACGCAGCCACCTGACCAGACGCAGGGACAGGAGGAGACTCAACGGTCAGGGTGTAGAGACTCGACCCCGGCCGACGCGAGAACGTGGCCAGGTGTCGGCCTGTGCGTGCCTCCGTGCAGTGGGTCACCCGCTGACTCGCAGGAGTGAACTGGTGAACCCCCACATCCTGCAGGTCCGCGCCACTCACCAAGTTCGTAGAGAACGAGGGAAGGTACAGACCAGACAAGGTGCCCAAAGGGGCAGCCGGATACGGGAGGACAGTGGAGAAGTGAGAGAGGACAGGACCCCCAGAGGGGTCAGCCAGGGAGACGGCAACCGGCCGGCCAAGCGGCGTAAGGGTGGTGCGGTCTCGAAAGAAGGAGCGAGAAGCCCCAGAGTCAAGTGTGAAAGTAAGGGAGGACGAGGGCGACGCAGTACCTGAGGGCGCAGTCTCACCAGTACCTGAGAGCGCAGACGCACTGGCACCTAGAGCAGCAGCCTCACAAGCACCTAGCGCAGCAGTACCAATGCCAGGGTCGGGCTGGAAACACCGGTAACCCTCAGTCTCCTCACTAATAGTCACAGCATACATAGCAGCAAGGATAGCATCAAAATCAAGATCAAAGATCGCTACACCAGCCCTAAGAAGCTCATCCCAGCGAGGGATCTCACTAGCCCCGGGGAACTGCTGACGCCAAGCGTCCGTCAGGCGGCCAAAGCAGCGCTGGGTGGGGTGGGCACCCCCACACTGCTCACCCGCGCGGTCGCCGGAACGAAGGACGTAGGTGGAAGGACCAGTACCCCCACCCCTCTGACGCTGAGTGTACCACTCACGAAGCTGCTGAGGCGGAGGGATGTCCCACGAACGCTGCTGCTGAGAGCGCTGGCCACCACCACCGCCGCTCCGCTGCTGGGTACCACCCCGACCAGCTCCACCTCCTCCACCACCACCGCCTCCTCCGCTGCCTCCTCCGCCGCCTCCACCTCCGCCGCTGCCACCACCACCACCACCGCTGCCACCACCACCGCCGCCTCCGCCGCTGCTGCCACCGCCACCACCACCCCCGCCACTACTCCCGTCGCCACCCCCACTCCCTCCGCCGCCTCCGCCGCCACCGCCACCGCCCCCTCCAGCTCCACCCGCGCCCTTGCCCCCCTTGCCCTTGCCAGAGCGACGTCTCCCACTAGGGGCAGACGCCGCGCCGACCGACTCAAGACCAAGCAGGTCGGCAGCAGCAGCAGAGGCAACAGAGGGCAGCAAGGGGGAAGGAGAGCACCCCTCAAAGATGGGGGTGCGAGGGTCTCCACGAGAAGCTCCTACAGCGACTATGCTCTTCTCCGCTGTGAGGAGGGCCTTCTCGAGGACGTCGACGGTGAGGGTGGTGGGACAGACTGCGAGAAAGTGGTCCCTGACGACGCGAAGGGAGTCAGAGAGGCGCGCGACTACGTAGTAGAGAGCGATGTACATGGGGGGTGGGTTCTTAGCGCAGAACTCAGCAGGAAGGGCGGCGCGGTAGCGAGTGTCACTAGTGCGGAGGTGCGTAATGAGGTCAGCGACAGTGGGAAAGGCAGAGAGGTCAGGAAAGAGGTAGGGAAGCATGAGACGGCTCAGTGCAGCAGTGGCAGGGGAGGAGTAGCGCGCAACTACAGCGTCGTACAAGGTCTGAGCACTCTTGTACTGACTAAAGTGCGCGCGCTCAGAGGTAGGGAGGTGGCAACGCACAGCAAGACGTGCAGCAGCATCGCGGGTGGCCCACTGAGAGCGCACAGTGGGATCAGCATCAGCAGCAGGAGCAGGAGAGGCGCCAGAGGTAAGGTCAAAGAGAGAGAGGCCGTCTGCCCTATCGCACTGTAAAAACAACTGCAGGTAGTCTACCCAGACCTCAAAGTCTATGGCGCGACCCTCAGCGTCAAAAGCCAGGACACTAGGGGTAGCCATGACGACGACAGCGAAGCAGTGCAAGCAGTAGGGGAAGAGCACGCAGTGACAGTGGGACTGTGCTCACCAGGCAGGGCAGGCCGGGCAACTCTGCAGAAGGGCGGCTCGGCTGCTGGGCGGCTCGTCTCCCGGGCGGCTCGGCGGCAGGGCAGCTCTGGTGCAGGGCGGCTCGGCTCCCGGGCGGCTCGGCGGCAGGGCGGCTCGGGTGCAGGGCGGCTCAGCTCCCGGGCGGCTCGGCGGCAGGGCGGCTCGGCTGCACTGCTGCTCAGCTGCTGCAGGTGGGCGGCTCGGCTGCTGCAGGTAGGGTGGCGGGGCCGCGAGATCAGGGGCAGCGGGGCCGAAGTAGCAGGGCCGGCAGGTGCAGCGGCGGGGACGGCGGGGCCGCGGCTGGTGGAGCGGCGGGGCCGGCAGAGAGGGCGGCGGAGCCACGGCTGAGCAGGCGGCGGGGCCGGCGGCGTAGCGGGCGGCGGGGCCGGCGGCGTAGCGGGCGGCGGGGCCTTGTCGTAGTCGGCGGCTGGGCCGCGTCGTAGCGGGCGGCGAGGCCGCGTCAGAGCAGGCGGCGGGGCCGCGTCAGAGGTGGCGGCGGGGCCGCGTCAGATCAGGCGGCGGGGCCGCGTCAGAGGTGGCGGTGGGGCCGCGTCAGATCAGGCAGCGGGGCCGCGTAAGAGGTGGCGGCGGGGCCGCGTCAGAGAAGGCGGCGGGGCCGCGTCGTAGCGGGCGGTGGGGCCGCGTTAGAGTAGGCGGCAGGGCCGTGTCAGAGCAGGCGGCAGGGCCGCGTCGAGCAGGTGGCGGGGCCGTTGCGTAGCTGGCGGCGGGGCCGCGATCGGGCGGCGGGGCCGCGACGTGGCGGCGGGGCTGCGATCGGGTGGCGGGGCCGCGATCACAAGGGGTGGCGGGGCCGCGTCTGAGGGACGGCGGGGCCACGAGGGAAAGGGCGACTCGAGGGGTCGCTAAAAAAAAAAAGGTGCGCGCCTCGGGGCGCGCTTCGGTGGGCCCTAGGCAACGTTCCCACAGGGAACTCGCTCTATACCATGTAAAATAAATGACCAGGAATGAAATGACTAAGTCAGAGTTGGGTACAAATACAACCCTAGAAAGCTGTACCCCATATGTGCTACCCCACTATAGCCTACAAACATGCATCAGCAATAATACTCTGACATACTATGCGAGATCTGAGCGCTTCCTTTCTCCCTGGCATTTGTACTCTAAGTTCCCATACTGACCAACCTGGCCAATGCACCATTTTCCATATACATATGCATTAGATTCCTTTCAAACCTTATTAGCTCACTAGATTTATATATTTCCCACCTTCTGATCGAGTGAGACCGCTAGATTCCCTTTACTTCTTGAGAAATGAGCGTTTCCGTTCTCCTTGGCCCTACTTGCACTATAAGTGCGAAATGCCGGCCAGACTGGCCGATGCACCATTTTCTCTACACATGTGCGTTAGTTACCTTTCAAACCCTTACGTTCACTAGATGAATTTATTTCCTTCCTTCTATTTGAGTGAGACTACTAGATTCCGTGTACTATGCGAGATCTGAGCGCTTCCTTTCTCCCTGGCATTTGCACTCTAAGTTCCCATACTGACCGACCTGGCCAATGCACCATTTTCCATATACATATGCATTAGACTCCTTTCGAACCTTATTAGCTCACTAGATTTATATATTTCCCACCTTCTGATCGAGTGAGACCGCTAGATTCCCTTTACTTTTTGAGAAATGAGCGTTTCCGTTCTCCTTGGCCCTACTTGCACTATAAGTGCGAAATGCCGGCCAGACTGGCCGATGCACCATTTTCTCTACACATGTGCGTTAGTTACCATTCAAACCCTTACGTTCACTAGATGAATTTGTTTCCTACCTTCTATTTGGGTGAGACCACTAGATTCCGTGTACTATGCGAGATCTGAGCGCTTCCGTTCTCCCAGGCATTTGCACTTTAAGTTCCCATACTGACCGACCTGGCCAATGCACCATTTTCCATATACATATGCATTAGATTCCTTTCAAACCTTATTAACTCACTAGATTTATATATTTCCCACCTTCTGATCGAGTGAGACCGCTAGATTCCCTCTACTTTTTGAGAAATGAGTGTTTCCGTTCTCCTTGGCCCTAGTTGCACTATAAGTGCGAAATGCCGGCCAGACTGGCCGATGCACAATTTTCTCTACACATGTGCGTTAGTTCCCTTTCAAACCCTTACGTTCACTAGATGAATATAATTCCTACTTTCTATTTGAGTGAGACCACTAGATTCCGTGTACTATGCGAGATCTGAGCGCTTCCATTCTCCCTGGCATTTGCATCTTAAGTTCCGATACTGACCGACCTGGCCAATGCACCATTTTTTCTATACATGTGCGTTGAATACATTTCAAACCTTTTTAGCTGACTAGATTTATATATTTCCCACCTTCTGATTGAGTGAGACCGTTAGATTCCCTCTACTTTTTGAGAAACGAGCGTTTCCGTTCTCTCTGGCCCCACCTGCACTATGAGTGCGAAATGCCGGCCAGACTGACCGATGCACCATTTTCTCTACACATGTGCGTTAGTTACCTTTCAAACCATTACGTTCACTAGATGAATATATTTCCTACCTTATATTTGAGTGAGACCACTAGATTCCGTGTATTATGCGAGATCTAAGCAGTTCCGTTCTCCCAGGCATTTGCACTCTAAGTTCCCATACTGACCGACCTGGCCAATGCACCACTTTCTATATACATATGCATTAGATTCCTTCTGAACCTTATAAGCTCACTAGATTTATATATTTCGCACCTTCTGATCGAGTGAGACTGCTAGATTCCCTTTACTTTTTGAGAAATGAGCGTTTCCGTTCTCCTTGGCCCTACTTGAACTATAAGTGCGAAATGCCGGCCAGACTGGCCGATGCTCCATTTTCTCTACACATGTGCGTTAGTTACCTTTCAAAGCCTTACGTTCACTAGATGAATTTATTTCCTACCTTCTATTTGAGTGAGACCACTAGATTCCGTGTACTATGCGAGATCTGAGCGCTTCCGTTCTCCCTGGCATTTGCACTCTAAGTTCCCATACTGACCGACATGGCCAATGCACCATTTTCCATATACATATGCATTAGATTCCTTTCGAACCTTATTAGCTCACTAGATTGATATATTTCCCACCTTCTGATCGAGTGAGACTGCTAGATTCCCTTTACTTTTTGAGAAATGAGCGTTTCCGTTCTCCTTGGCCCTACTTGCACTATAAGTGCGAAATGCCGGCCAGACTGGGAGATGCACCATTTTCTCTACACATGTGCGTTAGATACCTTTCAAACCCTTACGTTCACTAGATGAATTTATTTCCTACCTTCTATTTGAGTGAGACCACTAGATTCCGTGTACGATGCGAGATCTGAGCGCTTTCGTTCTCCCTAGCATTTGCATTTGAAGTTCCGATACTGACCGACCTGGCCAATGCACCATTTTCTCTATACATGTGCGTTGAATACATTTCAAACCTTTTTAGCTGACTAGATTTATATATTTCCCACCTTCTGATCGAGTGAGACCGTTAGATTCCCTCTACTTTTTGAGAAACGAGCGTTTTTGTTCTCCCTGGCCCCACCTGCACTATGAGTGCGAGATGCCGGCCAGACTGGCCGATGCACCATTTTCTCTACACATGTGCGTTAGTTACCATTCAAACCCTTACGTTCACTAGATGAATATATTTCCTACCTTCTATTTGGGTGAGACCACTAGATTCCGTGTACTATGCGAGATCTGAGCGCTTCCGTTCTCCCTGGCATTTGCATTTGAAGTTCTGATACTGACCGACCTGGCCAATGCACCATTTTCTCTATACATGTGCGTTGAATACATTTCAAACCTTTTTAGCTGACTAGATTTATATATTTCCCACCTTCTGATCGAGTGAGACCGTTAGATTCCCTCTACTTTTTGAGAAACGAGCGTTTCCGTTCTCCCTGGCCCCACCTGCACTATGAGTGCGAAATGCCGGCCAGACTGGCCGATGCACCATTTTCTCTACACATGTGCGTTAGTTACCTTTCAAACCCTTACGTTCACTAGATGAATATATTTCCTACTTTCGTTTTGAGTGAGACCACTTGATTCCGTGTACTATGCGAGATCAGAGCGCTTCCGTTCTCCCTGGCATTTGCATTTTAAGTTCCGATACTGACCGACCTGGCCAATGCACCATTTTCTCTATACATATGCGCTGAATACATTTCAAACCTTTTTAGCTGACTAGATTTATATATTTCTCACCTTCTGATCGAGTGAGACCGTTAGATTCCCTCTACTTTTTGAGAAACGAGGGGTTCCCTTCTCCCTGGCCCCACCTGCACTATGAGTGCGAAATGCCGGCCAGACTGGCCGATGCACCAAGGGCATAGCGTGTGCAAAATAGCAAGAACAAGGGCCTAGCGTGTGCAAAATTGCAAGAACAAGGGCCTAGCGTGTGCAGATTTGCAAGAACAAGGGCCTAGCGAGTGCAAAATAGCAAGAGCAAGGGCCTAGCGCGTGCAAAAAATCAAGAACAAGGGCCTAGCATTCGGGAAATAGCAAGAACAAGGGCCTAGCGTGTGCAAAATAAAAAGAACAAGGGTCTAGCATGTGCAAAATTGCAAGAACAAGGGCCTAGCGTGTGCAAAATAAAAAGAACGAGGGCATAGCGTGTGCAAAATAGCAAGAACAAGGGCCTAGCATGTGCAAAATATAAGAACAAGGGCCTAGCGTGTGCAAAATAAAAAGAACAAAAGCCTAGCGTGTGCAAAATTGCAAGAGCAAGGGCCTAGCGTGTGCAAAATAAAAAGAACAAGGGTCTAGTATGTGCAAAATTGCAAGAACAAGGGCCTAGCGTGTGCAAAATAAAAAGAACAAGGGCATAGCGTGTGCAAAATAGCAAGAACAAGGGCCTAGCGTGTGCAAAATAAAAAGAACAAGGGCCTAGCGTGTGCAAAATAGCAAGAACAAGGGCCTAGCG